GTGTTGAATGTACATGTATATATATAAGGAAATGAATGGATCATCGAATCAATTAAGCAGTTAGTAATAAAGCTAGCAGAACGAATTTATGCGTAGGCGGTAAGCAATGTTCAAGCATACATATTTCATACAAGCACAACAATAATAAGGGTACAATAAGTTGTGATAGTATGGATGACTTTGTCCGCTAAATAAGTTAACAAAAGGGCTTAACCGAATTAAATGAGAACAAACTCAATTGCATATGAGTTGCTATAATGTATATTAAGAAATGACATGAGCATATTTTCAATATGATAAGATGTGTGTGAAACTGAAAAGTCAGTTTCACTCATGTGTCATACTTAGAAATTGATCGATCTATCAATAAAGATTATGAGACGAAATATGGAGTATTCAGCAATAAACTGAAGATAATTTTTCATAAAATAATTACCTCAACTGAGAAATTATCGAAGACTAAGGAACATTTAAAAAGTGTTTCGTATTAATTTGAAATTATTTAAAGATATAAATTAACATTCAAAGATTTTAAGAACCTTTCATTCCATGGGTGGTCTTTCCAATCAGTTCTCTGGAATCTAACGTTCCTCATTTCAAACTCCAGTTTATATTATAGCATGAAACCGATTTGAGTGATTGAGAATGCGAATGTTCCTAAAGAACTCCAAAAGTAAACAAAACATATGTTCAATACTATATGCCTTAAAACAACATTCAACCATACTGTAACCTAATTAACTACCCAATAATTGATACCTGTGAGAAAGCTTTAATAATTATCCAACAATTACAATAAAAGAATATACTTAGTTACATAATGTACTTTTATTATATGATGACTCAAGTTTTGTAAAACTCTAATGATAAATTCATTCACAAATTAATATCAATATTGTAATACTCTTGTTTTATTCAACATAAAAATGTAAATTGAACTGTATATTCCTTTGTAAATTTTGCCTCTTTGTTCTATATGTATTCATCAGAATTTTTAATGCTTATTTCAAACATTATTCACGCTTACAGAATTGAATGGAAATCGGTTGTGAGATGGTGTAGATTTGTAGCTCAGGTGAATGTTTTGATGGAGTTTTGTTCCCTGAGCTAGATGGTTTGGTCGTGGGCTTTCATCGTTCTTCTGAACGACATCATCAGCACAAACTTCAGATAGAAGTGAAGTGTTCGAATTTCTCCATGTGCCTATTTCAAAAGAACGGCTACCCAATCAACTTCATCAAAAAACACAACCGCACGCAGCATCAGAACCTAAGTCAAGCACAGAAATCAACAAAAGGATTGCCTTACCATACATAAAAGGCATATCAGAAACCACAACGAGACTGCTGAAAACCTTCGGGGTAGGTGTGGCACACAAACCGACAAAATCACTACAATCAATCCTATGCAAACCACAGGATAAAATAGCAAAGGAAGACAAATCAAACATCATCTACAAAATAAATTATGCCAACTGCGAAAAACACTACATCGGACAAAGCGGACGCCCCCTTCACCTTCGCCTACATGAACATCAATTAGCAGTCAAACGCTATGATACTTCCTTACGTATATCAATACACGTGGACAACTGCGGACACTTATTCGATTGGAAAAATGTGGAAATCTTGGACAGAGGAAATTCCAAAAGCACCAGAGAATTTTAGAAGCCTAGCACTCAGGTCAATCATCAATCAACAAGCACATTGAAATCGACTCAATTTATCAACCAATCAGAAAAATCATGCACAAATATAGGAACAAAAATCAAAAGAATGGGAGAACAACCAAAACAAAGGAGAAAACAATGACAAATTTAAGGTCAATAAGAACCAATCAACGTCGAGGTGTACAGAACAAGCTGTGAAACGCATATGAAGAAATTAGAACACTTCACTTCTATCTGAAGTTTGTGCTGATGATGTCGTTCAAAAGAACGATCAAAGCTCCACGACCGAACCATCTAGCTCAGGGAACAAAACTCCATCAAAATCGGAAATCGGTTGTTTTACACTGGTAGAAAATTTGTTTTAGATCTAGAGAAAATGATTTTTCTTTAAATAATTTTTATTCTATACAACAGAAATTGGTGAAACGACCTTTGAGCGACACGAAAGTGGCCATGAGAATGTTCACGTACTGACTAGGGCTAAATATGGGTTATAAACGTTTGTGAAGGATAAAGATTGTGATTTACAGTTGATGGTTAGGGATAGAGATTAGATACAGGGTTTTCATCACAATCTAATATCAGCTAAAATGCCGAGACGTTATTTAGCCAAGTGGATAAAAAATTTCGTGCCGGAATCCAAGACCTGCTATCGTAAATGTAATTGTTTCGTCTATAAATTATAGCCTCGCCCAGAACATGAATACAATACCTCGGCTTACACGTTCAAAATGGTTGGCTGAGCTGACATTTAACAAACGTTTCTCAGTTTTCTCATGTGAAACTCATGTATTTTGCTAATGATCAATAGATTATTTGATGACTATAATTTATGGACGAACCAATCAGATTTACTATAACAAGTCTTGAATTTTAGTTCAAAATTCATTCGTCCATTTAGCTAAATAGTGCTTTAGCATTTTAGCTAATATCAGTTCATGATGAAAACCCTAAATCTAATTCCTAATTCTAACCAACAACATTAAATCATAATCTTAATACCTTAAACTAGGTTATAACTCTTATATAACCCCAAATAAGTTGATGGACATTCTCAAGGTCACGTTTACATCACTCAAAGGTGATCGATAAATTAGAGTTTCATCAATTTTCTTTTCTATTAAAAAGGATTTTCTCAAAAAAAGTTTTTCTATCATATTCATTGGGAAATTTGAACTTCACATTTTGGCTCTTAAAATGATCGATTTTTTTTAATGAATGATATAAAGCCAATTAAAAATATTATAAAATGAATTCTTTATTCTAAACAGTCATTGCAAATCTAATCCATGATAAATATTCTATAATTATTTGCTAAATGTAACTATATTTCTATATGGATATTTATCATTACAATCTTATAAAACTTCCTTACACCTGTCACTCCTAATGGAGCATAGGCCGTCGACCAGCATTCCCCAACCCACTCTATCCTGGGCTTTCCTCTCTAGTTCTATCCAATTCCTGTTCATTTTTCTCATGTCTATCTCAATTTCCCGGCGTAATGTGTTCTTTGATCTTCCACTCCTCCTTTGGCCTTGAGGATTTCATGCGAGGGCTTGTCTTGTGACGCAGTTGGGTGTTTTCCTCAATGGATGTCCTATCCACTTCCAGAGCATCTTCCTGATTTCTTCCTCCGCTGGAATCTGCTTTGTTCTTTACCACAGTAGGTTGTTGCTAATGGTGTCCGGCCAACGGATCCGAAGTATTTTGCGTAAATAACTGTTAAACACCTGTATCTTCAGGATGATGGCTTTCGTAGTTCTCCAGGTTTCCATCCCATACATTAGAACTGTCTTGACATTTGTATTGAAAATCCTGACCTTTATGTTGGTTGACAGTTGTTTTGAGTTCCAGATGTTCTTCAGTTGTAAATATGCTGCTCTTGCTTTGCCGATCCGCGCTTTCACATCTGCATCAGATCCACCATGTTCAGCAATGATGCTGCTCAGATATGTATAGGTTTTTACATCTTCCAAATTTTTCCGCCAATTGTCATTGGATCGGTGCATGCTGTGTTGTATCTAAGAATCTTGTTTTTCCCACAAATTCCTCCTATTCTGGTTTAAAGCAAGAAAATACTCAATACTATTTTTATTTTTGAAAAATCATTCACATAATTTAAATTTACTTATGACATACCAAGTCACATATATGATCTGATATTTATACCATTTTGTATTGTCAATTATCAACCCTAATAATATCTTAATCAGTTCACTTAGATAGAACTAAAATTTACACAATATTTCATTGAAACCAGATATGCCAAATTTTTACTTTATCATTCTGATCGCTATAGCTTGTACAATTGTCTATTACTTTTTGTTGTTGGAATTCAAGTCTAGAAATGACCAGTCTGTTTTATCATATGTACATCCTGGGCGAAATTCAGTTCTAAATTTTAACAACAGGAAGTTCTAAGCTTTCACTATACTTTCATACTTTCTAAACACGTTGCTGAGTAATTTGACATATTTCAAGTTGCCGTTTAAATAGACACAGGGTTCTAATCTTAATGTAGACATCAATACTGGTACACAGGTACACCCACCTAACAAGTTACAAACAGAAGGAAACTTACATCCTGAATTTCACTTCTAGCTACATGATAGATAAATTAATAATAACCCATTCTATTGAAGATATAGTTTCCAAACAGGTTGTAGCTACATAAGCTGTATTGATCTATTTTCATATGAATACATCTTTCAATATGACTCAATAAATGTATTATTATGATGACCGTTATATTCAATAAGGTTTACGTGACTACGGTGGACAATTTTTAAAACAAACTATGAAGTACTTTAATAGTCCCGAATGTCACTTTCGGATATTTAAAAAATGTATACTTTAAAATGCTTTTCAACTATCTTTTACCCTTATTTTACAACGTTACCGACCAGTTTTGTTCTTCTGGTATTTTCTTTTTAGTCGTACAATATAGCTGATGCATGAATTTCATTAGAATTATTTTACTTGTATTGAGAAAAGCTACGAAAATATATTAACCACCATGATAGTTCTATCTGAAATTTGTACAATTTTTTTTCTTTTTTGATACGTTTCACGCTTCCTATAAATGCTCATGCTTACATGGAATCAATATTAGAAACCTAGTCATTTAAAACAAATCAGGAAAAAAAACTATCATACTACAGTGTTTGCACAGCTGATAAAAATGGATGACCGGAAAGTATAAGTCGTCTGCCTTTCGTTACTGTTTTTTTTTATATACAGTTTTATCAAGTGGTTTTTCTCAGCAATAGTTAAAACATTCATTTCATGTTTGTTTTTTTGTTTGTTTGTCTGTTTGTTTTTATCATAGTTTGCATTCGAGAAGATCCGTTTTCTAAAGTAAGTCTCTATTTTTGTGTATACATATTAATTCATTAAACATTGATAATATTAAATGTTCAATTCTATTGATTATAATTTATATTTACATATTTAAAGCGAAATGTTGCATATAGATTTACATTTGGAACAGAATTCATTAAAATTTAAATGGGATCACAAAGAATGTTGTTCCTTTTTTTTAAAAAAAAATCAATTTCCCAAAACACTGGTGATATATATAGAAACCATACAAAATCCAATCATTTAAAATAGTTCATTTTAATGGTTTGTATTCAATAAATACCAATACTGACATAACTTTTCATCAACAGAATATACACAAGATGAAATTTACTTCCTATGTAAGAATAATTTAAAAATTGGGTTATAACTTTAGTACAATCATTAAACACTACAAAGAAAAACAAACAAAACAAAACTTTGACTATTTTCAACAAAGTAGTCAAAATAAGACAATAGATTCGTCTCAACAACACATATGTAGTTATTGATTCAAAACACTATAGTTTTAAAAAACGAACATTTTAATTATAGACGACATTCTCTACGACGTTGAAGAATCTACTTTCATTTACTTAAACAGAATATATATATATATATATATATATATATATATATATATATATATATATATATTCGTGGACACATTAACTAATTACAAAATTATGTGTGGTTCTCATGTACCAATGGTAAAAGAAATTCATATACTACTACTTAATAAAAGCATTTCACAATCGAATTAATCATATTCATTTGTACATAATTTATTCCTAGTGGAAACAAATCTTTTTATTTCCATAAGAACGAATTTTGAGGGTTTGGATTTATTCAGTACATTTTTGTGAAAAAACCTTGACATTGCGAATTCCCTAGCATCAAACTTTCTAATAAACAAGCCTTTAGAATGTAATGTTTGGGCAAGAGTTTTATAATCTAGTTCGACTGTTAGTCATTATTATTAAATAAAATTGGTTTTCTTTGAATGACTAAAACTAACGTTAAAAATGGAACAGTTATAAAAAGTATTTGTTTATGGTTTAATTAACCGAATAATCGTAGACAGCAGTTGAAAAGCAAAAAACATTAGATAGTTAGCTGGTCTTATTACGAGAACTCATAGTTTCAAGACCTGGATTTTCTGAGTTCTATCCTCGCAGAGCTTCTCAATCTATGTTGTTAAAGAGTCGTATACTAGAATGAAACAACTATACAATGCTTTCTACTTTTCAATAGCTATCTAATTAGGGTGAATTATGCCTTAAGAAATATATTTTTCAAACTAATTGACAATACTATTTTACATAGATAAAGGGTTTCGCAAGCTATAGGTTTTGACCATAAGTGTTATATTACCACGTTTTCTCTGTTTAAACCACTGTAACTGTATTTTCTGTTATTCAATAAAAACTATTTTTGGTGAAAGAACGCAGTTTTATATGATCGAAATTTGATAAAAGTTTCATATTCTGTGGTTTATTGATAATTAATATTTAAAATAACCAATGCCTGATCGATATTTCATTCTTCTATCATTTTCACATATATTGTCACCATTAGGCATAACTATACAGAATAATGTGTTTGAAAGCAATTTTAAGCTTCAATTAGATAAATCAGCCTTTAATAGTCGTCGATAGCTCAGATGTTTCCATAAACCACTAATCTGTCTCTTGTAATCACGAAAATTTCGTCTTCCCTCAGTTTACTTTCGAAAAGCATATACACCAATACTAAAAATTTACATCACTACTATCAATTATATCGTTTACTTGAACATATCTGGTGAATAATTCATTTTTAAATGTCTGAATCTTCCGTTTGTTTATATTAACGATTGCAGTTGTTCATTTTCACTTATAACCTATGCATCGTCAGAACTGACTTCAAATCTCTGGGGTGCAGTTACACTCATTTGATAAATTTCGTATAATATGAGACGCACTTACTAGACTCCACATCTAACCATTGTCTGATTCCATATAAAAGTGTCAAACTAATGTCATAAGCTTGAATGCTAAGTAAGAAAGATAATCATTATTTTTTCACAATGAAATAAATTGATAATTATTATCCATTCTTTTATAATATTTTCTGATACCTTTAGAGCTCAGATCCTAATCAATAAAGTTTCATTGTTATTAAATTCATGATAAAAATAACACACTTAGGTGAACAATTATATAAATGTAGTTTAAAATGAAGAAATATTACTAATGTATACGTAGTCTATATAAAGTTCCTAACAAATTCTAGTAAAAATCATAACTTTGTTTCTACTAGTTCTCTAATGACTTAAACATCTAGTGAATAACTCATTTGTAATTATGATAAATAATGGATTAATATCATAAAAAGTTCTTAATATAGAATATTAAACAACTTTACTATGTACTTGACTAATAGCATTGAACAATCGTGTTAAACAACAAAAAATATTTCTTTTAGTTACTATGATATATATAAAAAAAACAACGATAATTTATCATTATAAAATAGTATCTGTTCATTAATCAATACAATTTTATTTTCACTGTATAAACAAAACTACATAAATTATAATACGAATTAACGTGATAAATGTGTAAACTATGAGTAACCTAACATAAAATAATTTTATATAATCATAAAATCTCTCATAGCTACTAAAATAATTCAATTCCACCAAATATTAAGGTAAATTAACAATATTCATCTATCAAGAGTTTTGTGAATATTATAGTAATTTCAATGGTTGAATTCATGAGTAAATTGAAGCTAGACCACCTTGGAAAACCTGGAAGCAATGGACGGCCGTTTTGTTCTATTGTAGGAATCCTTAGTAGTGGAGTTCAACCAGGTTTGTTGGAGATAGTAACTCACTGATGACAATGGTGGATGTGTCGCCCAATTTCTTGGATTAGTTGAAGTTAGACATTAACACCGTTGGATGCCGGCCAGCTTAGTGGTCTAGATATTAAACGCTAAGGCGCGAAACTGTTAGGTCCTGGGTTCGGATCTCGCGGGGGCTGGATCGTGGATGCGCAATGATGAGAAGTCCCACAATAGGATGAAACGGCAGTCCAATGCTTCCAGGTTTTCCATGATGGTCTAGCTTCAAATGACTCATGATCTCAACCATTAAAATATTCATCTATGTTTACTGATGTACAAAAAATTACGGAGAATGCGTTCAATGCGTTGAATTAATTCTGTGAAAAGTTACTTTTATTATAAAATTTCTGGTATTATTAAATAAAAAAGCTCACAAATGAATTACGCTAATTTGACTCTCTTGAAAATGTTTTATGGAGATCATGAACCGATCACTGCTAAATCATCGTTGTAAACCTGAAGACACTGAACGGATGTTTTGTCTCTTGAAATTTACTTTACAGTTTCTGATATAATATGTACATCGATCTCTATAAACCCTGTTAGTTTAATGAAGTGTTCACGCACTAAATAATTCACTACTTATTACTACATAGCGTTATGACGCCTAATCTCCTGAGGTTGATGAAATTCTACTGATTATGTTTCAATGTGACTTCATATCACAGTGAATTTTGTTAGTCGTTTTCGTGGTTAGCAAGAATTTTCCGAGTATAGTTGTTACGAGACTATGAAAACGCCTATGATTTGAGCATTAAGTCATGACTAACAAAAAGATTATCAAGTTCTTTTAAGTTGGAAAATACCTCTTACTGATGAATAACAATTAGCATAATTCTTGGTAACAATCAACAAGTGTATACAAGGAAATATGAGAATTTTCAAATTAAACATAATTCACTTCAACAAGTTTTATATACATCAAATAATAATACTATGAATACTGGACTTATTTCTTACGTAACGTAAAATCGATCAAACGGTATTGAATATTTTTTAATAATATTGATCTCAGTATCTGAAAATGACCAGTCTTCTACCAAGCAAACAAGTAAAGTACGGGAATGATTATCTTCCTACAAAAAAGTTTATTTTCTCGTTAAAGAATTACGAGAAAAGTCCACTTATTATATGAGGTTTCAGCATAACCTCTATAATTATCACTGTTATCAAAGAACAGAAGGAATTTGACTAGCAGTGAAATCCAGAACGCTCGTATTATTTCATTTGAGACATGTTAGCTGAATATACCTGTATCTCAGAGTACATTCTCACTATAGGATTCGAACTCATTGCCTTTCGTTTCAAACACCATCATATTAGCTACATTACATCTATCCTATATAAACTTGTGAAAAAGCTTATATCAAAGCGATTCATAAAGAATGAACATATGGGAATCATGATTGATTAAAATTCAATCAAAATATCACCAACATAAATGTCAAAACCATTACAAATTAAAATTTCATATTAAACATCGACTCTGGGATACAAATACATTCAGTTGATGAGTCCCAAAGAGAGTGAAACGCGAGTCTTGGATTCCACTACCAGCTACTATTCATCCCTACTTCTAATCCTAACGATTTAACGCAATATCGAAGCAATCTGCACATGGTGCACATATTCTAATAAGTGACTGCCTGATTGCAGTCATTAAGCACCAATGAGAAAATGTAAACAACCAATACAAAATGAATTGTGATTTGTTAATCTTTTATATTAATTAAATTAATTTTCTTATTCAATATAACTATTTATTTTGTTATTTAATAAATCTTAAAAATAAAAAAAATTTAGGAAAATATTTTTATTAAAATGAATGGAGCAAATTTGGATAAAAAAGATTTTTTTGGTAAATCCGATCCATATGTAATTATCTATCGAAGAAATGAACGAGGAAAGTAAGATAATAAACATTATTCTAAAAATTTATTTGTACTTATAAATCTATTGAATTTATGATCAGAAATGAGTTTATGTGGATATTATAGTAATCTAATAGTTGAATTCATGAATTAATTAAAGCTAGATCATCATGGAAAACCTAGATGCACTGGACGGCGGTTTTGTTCTATTATGAGGCTCTTCAGCAGTGCGCACCCACGATCCCGCCTCGCAAGACTCGAACCCAGGACCTATCAGTCTCGCGGGTGGCTCTTAACATCTAGACCACTGAGCTGGCCGGCATCCAAACGTGGTAATGTCTAACTTCAACCAATCCACGAAGTTGCACCACCGTCTACCATTGAATTTAATAATACACTTTCTAGTTAACTGAAATAAAATTAATTTGATTAGATGATTTATCAAATTTAGTTCAACTTGAAAATCATGCAGCATTCTTTGAATACCTATGCTTTTATTATCTATGAGAATCCATGACAGGATATAATTATATGCTAAATACTGACTAGTTACAAGGGAGATTAGTGACATTTCATAGATAAGTACTATTTCAAGAATTGAAATCAAGTATTAGAATGCTTGAGAAGCGATGATTGTGCTCACATTTAGATTACTTCTAAGATTATTTATACGCGTAAGTGTTGAGTTCCAAACTGAAATAAAGCCAATGTCAGGTAAGTTTACTACAAAACAAACTAAAGTTGACCAACATTATTACAACGGTTACTTATAAACATGGGCAGTTTCCCTATATCTGCACATGAGTTAGAATGTAATCGTTTTAAAACGCTGATACGATCCAGCATAGTTAACTCGTGAGGAATGGTGATTTATTCGATTTAACTGTTTAAATGTTTCTTAAGCATTAGTGAACATTCTTTAAAACAGGTTCAATGAGCAATTGCATTATAGAAATATTAACTATAAAAATAAAGTTTAGTTTTTTTTCTATTTTCATAATTAACTGTTGGAGTGATATTAAACAAACGGCCAATTAAATACAGGAAGCATCAGGAAAATTATTTCATCCTAGTTTAGGATTTTGTAGAAATTCACATTCATGAACGCATTAGCAACCGAACGTATAACCTCTCAAAATTAGTCATTAGCGAGCACATGATTATTATCAATATAGGGGTTCGTGGAGATTATTGAGTGTGCTTGACTGATTTATACACCTATGCTAGATAATCTCACACTAGAAAATAGCTATTCAGTGCTCCCTAATTTCTAACAGTTATGATAATCTAGCAATAAGCAATGAACATTTAAAAACGACGAATATGATATGAATACCTTCATTTCTAAGGTCAATGCTAAGTAATGAATTGGACAGTTGAAGTTCCTTATTGACAATACATTTGTCAACTTTTTTTAAAGTTAGTGTTTTAAAAAAACTTTTTTTATTAAAATAGATTACAAAAATGTTACCGAAGTGAAGTGATCAAGAATACATTATTTCCAGACTGGAAACCGATTCTTATATGTTTAGATAGATTATGTGGAGGGAATATTGATTGGTAAGTTCTATTCAAATGTCTACATTCATTTGGGTTTACACAAAAATTCATATAGATTTTAAGATGCAATGTGCAGTACTATATATTCATATGAAGGTTTTAGTTAAGATCCCATATAGGTTTTTCTTCCTCAGATTACGTAATATTTATTAGTCTGTATTTGCATTCAGAATACTTGTTACTTAACTTGTAGGCGAACAACTTTACAAAGATTTCATTGTTGATATCGTGTAAAACTTTTTAATAACATGCAAACTAAATACAATAAACGTAACTTTACAAAAATCTTTTTAAATGAAATCATTAGATTAACATTATCGTCTTTAAATGAAACTTATGTTTGATTACTAATGAGTTACACATATGAAATTGCTGAGAATGACTTCATCCCCAACTTCTCGTTTGCTATTTATATTCTCTCCTATAAAATTCCCTGACCCAGTGTTAAGTTCGCTACTTCGTTAACGCAGAATACGATTTACGACTACGACACTCGAACGTTGAACTTCACCGTCACAAATCAGAAAACAGAAGAAAAGCTAGAGTATTGTTTATTTGGTAAGAATCAACGTGTACAGAAAATCACGGGTATTTATAGATGCTAGCATTTCCTAAATCAACATTATATTTTGTCCAGTCCGCTAAGACATATTATGCTACTGACCAATAGCAGCATGCCACGTTGATATTCTAGAAAGCTCCACCATGTTCTGATTGACTGGAACTCTTTGGCTCTTTTAGGGCCTCTATAGACTCCGTTTTATTGCTCGGAAGCTGACTCAACACCTCCCCCGAATAAGATTTCTTCCTAGGATCCACATGACAACTGGTTTGCGGCGGCGTTCCATTATCCTTGTTGTCTTCCTTGTCCGAGACTTCTTTTTAGTGTCATTGGGCATATGTAACGTTGATGTATCTGAGATTAAATCTAACGGAAGATTCAGTTGGTTATTTTGAGTACGAATCGTTCTTTTATCTCTGTGGATTTGATTCGTATGTCATATACATGTTCCAAAGGTTCCCCGGACTCTGTACAAAACTTTCCACAATATTTTTATAATATTTCCCGGTTCCCGTCGGTTCTTTCCGAGGTAGGACTTAATGTAGACTTCGTCGCCAACATTAAAGCTTCGAATATTTCGGATGGCAACATGGCATTGAAAACGGTCCGAATACGCCTTCCGAACATGGCTTCAGCGGGAGACTTACCATCTGGAACATTAAGGTTCGGAGTGGTTCTGTAGGCTGTTAAAAATTTTGTGGTTACCTGCCCAGTTTGTCCCTCCGCCTCCCCCTTTAAGTAATGTTAGCTTAAAAGTGTCCACAAATCGTCCTGCTTGTCCGTTCGATTGCGAATGATAGGGCGAAGAACAAAGATGAGTTATTCCATTTGTGCTACAGAAATACTTAAACGATTCTGCGATGAATTGCGAGTCATTATCAGTTACGAAGGTCTCTGGAACTCCGAAGCAGCTAAACAAGGTAGACAACTTGTGAATTGTTTCTGATGTTGTACAATTAGGCATGGTATATACTTCAGGCCACTTAGTAAATGCATCCACAATAATTAGAAACATTTTTCCTTGGATTGGACCGGCAAAATCTATGTGAAGTCTTACACAGGGTCCTGCAAACGTTGGCCAACACTGAGGTTCGCATTTCAAAGGATTTTCAGCAGCTTGACTGCATGATGGACAGTTACGGCATTTTTTCTCGATATCTTTGTCCATTGATGGCCAACAAGCATAACTACGAGCCAACGATTTCATTTTGATGATTCCAGGATGGCCACTGTAAAACTGCTTGAGAACCTTGTGACGTAACAACTTTGGAATAACAATTCAATCACCGAACATAATACACGGGTCGACAACCATTAATGAGTCACGTAGACGAAAATATTGCAAAATTTCTCCGTCAAGACGTGTTTTCGGCCATTTGGTCGAGAGATGGCATTTAACTGTGCTCAATGTCTTATCGATTTCAGTGATCATCTTGATAGCTTCAAAGGTTACTGGGAGTCCATTGATTGCGTCATCCAATACGCGATGAACTTATTTCTCAGCTTTCATATTTGATACAAGAGTCTCCTCTGGGGTTTTTGATTAGGAATCTATTAATCTTGATAATGCGTCAGCTTGCCCGAAAGCGGTAGTAGACTGATACTTGATCTTGAAATCGTAACCCAGAAGTGTGGTTGCCCATCGTTGTAGCTGGTTAGCTGTGTGAATAGGAATTCCTTTCTTTAACCCAAGAACGACGAGAACCCTGTATGCTGATTGCTCGAAATAATTACGCTGAATTTTGTCCAATTACAGGCTGACTTCGATTCGTTAACTTGAAGATTGAGGGTACAGAATTGTTTTTCAACTCCATCACCAATTGTTATAACTTGTTAATGTCCTCCGAAATCCCCGTCGCCAATTGGTATAACTTGTCAGTTGAATGCTACGTGTTATACCAATTGGCAACGGGGATTTCGGAGGACATTAACAAGTTATAACAATTGGTGATGGAGTTGAAAAACAATTTTGTACCCTCAATCTTCAAGTTAACGAATCGAAGTCAGCCTGTAATTGGACAAAATTCAGCGTAATTATTTCGAGCAATCAGCATACAGGGTTCTCGCCGGTGTTCTTGAACAACAATGATTGTTATTTAGTCATACAGTATGTTTCATTATTGTGCTGATTCAGAAAATGGCTATCTCTTCCGATCAGTTACAGTTGCTACTTGAGCGACAACAGCAGCGTTTCAAAACTAGCCAGTTGAATGTTTTAGACAATTTACACACACGGCTGCTAAATCATCGATGTTTTGGAGATTTGATAGAAGTTGATAAATTAATTGCTAACTTGAATACCGAGCTGGAAAATGACTGCAGAACGTATGAACGTGTTGATGAAACCCTCCGTGAATCCTTGATAAGCAGTAGCAGTCATTCATGATCCGTCCAGTGGTCCAGAAATGTCTATTTCAGAGACATGCCATATCGTGGGTTGAAATCCCATTTCCATCGAGACACAATGTACTAACACTGACTTGTCCAGCTCACAGAAAGACGATGTCTTACTAAGTGCTCATTAAATTATTGCAGTACCCGCCCGCGAAGAAACAGGAAATGGACCAAGCATCATAATGAAGACAGTCGCATTAAATGAAGCTCATCATTCTAAGACAAAAGTTTCTGACGAATGTACTTATTGGGGTTCTCTAGTTGTTTTACCAGAAATGAGTTATCCTAATGACTCACATGCTTTTGATCAAATTTCTTACAAAAGTGAGGAAAATTTGTCGTATGCGTTAAATGATAATCAAGAACCCAATGAAATTTTTATAGATGCCGATTATTCTAGTGATCAATTATCTACTAACAAGATTTTCAAGAAATGTGGTGAAAATGTTTCACAAGAATCAAACCTTAATGACCGCATATCAAGTGTCGTTGATCCTCACCATCTAGTCAGTTCTAGTGAACATTCTATTCAATGCGGGAAATATGTTTTAAATAGAGTCACATTAACTGTAAGTTGGGAATATGAGGACCCAACATTATTTCGTTGCGGAGGATGAAGTCATAAAATTTAAAGATGGATCTCAACATAGAGTCTTCATAAGAAGAATAGGGGGAGATATGATGGAAAGAAAAGTCCATTTTCGATTGATTTACTCATTATGAGTTTTATTCAAAAATACTTCTGTTTTGATTCAATGTAATGATTACACAATGTAGTATTTGTTTTCTTTTCTCGTATGATGTTTTATTCTGTATAATATGTGATATTCTTGTATTCCATTGACACGAACTATGCTCAGTATGTGATTTGTTATATATGTGATTTCATCCTAATTATTGATCAAAATGGATGTACAATCAATATATAAATGAATGTATTTTCGACTAGCTCTCGCCGACGTCGTCGTGTTTCGAGGTTAATAAAGCATCACTTATACCAGTCATTGTGTTCTTACTTCGGCGTCGTGGGAATTGGAGATGTCCCTTGTTTCGAGTATAAATGATAAGCGTTTCCGACATAAAAGTCAGTGACAACCAGATACAAAAAGTAGTATTAAAAAAGCCAAGACAATCAGCATTCAACTCACAAGTTATAACAGATAGATCAGCTCTAGAACTATTGAACCTTGATTTTAGTCTCCCCACTGATTATCCTATGTCATTCGATCATATGTTCAATTAATGTGTATTGATAATAAGCATAGATTCTTGTAGCATTGACTACATTAGGCAATGAACATCCATCATTTTCGTAAATGATAAATGTGCCTTTAACTCGAAACCTTCTTTGTTTCATCAGAAAATATCGTTTAGTTCAATAATGATTTTGTATTAAAATATTTTTAGAATGCTCTTGGGAATATAGTAAAGGAACGATACCGAAAAAAAACAGCAAATCAATAGAAGTATCGTTCTCCACCATTTCAAAATAAAGATTTTTGAAACAAAGGATATCTTTCACAAAATTTTAAACAGTTTTATGGGATCTGACTATCAACAAACATCAGTATGCAGGGATATCAAGTAGTGTAGATTCCTGGTCACTTTATAAGTGATTTTAAGAAATTCAGTGATATGTGAGGACCAAAAACTATTACAAACTATAATGGTTTAAGTTAATAAGCTCAACAATATCACTTTTGCTTAGAGTCCTAGATAAATCGTTGAAACAGTTTTCAAAAGTCGGAAACCTTCCTTTACATCAGCATTCAATGGAAGCTTTTTGAAACTTTAAAGAAACGTGGTGGATTATGTGACACATTTTGACTGAATAGTTACCTATTTTCATCACGAAAATTGTTATGATTCCCAAAACTTCCACGTTACCAAGATTACGTAAACTTATAAATCTCTTGTTTTCTACACATAAACTAACTTGGAAAATAAATAACACTTTTTTCATTCTTCATTCCTTCCGTCTTCCATAATGTGGAGTTAAAAAGTGGTTATTAAATTATAGTCAACTGTTCCAATACCAAACCTATCAACTTATTAAAATGTAAAAACCTCATTTTAATACCTTTAAACACTAACTTCTGTTTCGATAATCATTAAGCATTTTATACATGATATTTTATTCGAATAAATTTAACGGTACATCATTTCTTGCTCTATTACAATGTCATCATTGAAATCATAGAAAATAAATCTTACATTCAACTACTAACTCATCCTAGTATAGAATTCATCAATGATACTCGATTAAAGATCTGAATAATATGGATTTGATCATTGGTGCATTTTTAAGTAACCACTGTTCAGAAATCCTAAATACTAATGTGTAAAACCTATTCATTACATATTTTTTTTATTCACAGTAACCAATCTTGTACCAGTCACTTGTAAACCTCTTTACAGTAAATAATAACAATAATTCATATCCATACATCTACGATTCATTCTGAAATTCTTAACGAACAGTAATAACAGAGACTTATATTCATATGAAACTATATCTACATCTATACATGTATCTATATACCGAGTAATATTCTTTTATTTTTCAGTGAATTATATTTCCGATGCTTTGACTGGGATGGAGCTGTCGGTGATTCGTAAGTTAACTAAATATATTTTTTTCATATCTCATTATATTTTTTAAATTAATTCATTTTGTTGATCTGATTGCAACAAATTCAAATCTGAACAAAAATTCCAATCATAAAAAATGGAGCATATTTTTTACAATCTAAGAAAATATTAGTGACCATTCATTGTTTTATATAATAATGAGAGGCGACTTAAATAGTCTCATGTTGAAACGGTGACTTAAATTAGCCATCAACAGGATATTTTATTCAGCCCAACTAGTCATTTATGAAAAGACAAGGTCTATGTATCACCAAAAACCTAAACAGCATGTAAGCTATTGTGTCCATCAATGTACATGTGTGTGCGGAAACACATACATAGGGAGGAACAATCGTGATCTGCAAGGAAAGGTGGCGGAAAAAATTCACAAATGGCTGCAGAAACAAATGAATTCCAATGGTCAAATAAGATCACAGGATAGATTGACATCTTCCTTCATTGCAAAATATTTGGTTCTGACTGACCATAAGGTTGATATCAAGTCAACACTTGTCGTGTTGTATAAATGACTTCACGGGCGTATACTAAGGTTTATTGAAACTTTGACTATTCAGAAACTGAAACCCCTTTACTTGTTCAAAAATGATTTGTTCTTACCCATAACCTACCCTGGTATTACTAATTTTTTATCCAGAGTGGTTATCACATTGTTTTTGTGTACTTTATTCTTTTTCTTTATTACGGCTTACCTTTAATCTGTCTAGTTGACCTTTTTTTATATATAAATGTTCCTAACAAGTATATGTGTGATCGGATTGTTCGAAATGTATCACGCTAATATATCACATAATTGCGATAACTTTCGTCCTCTCATTGCATTAACAGAATAAGATATATCTGTGAATTTATAGTTTATCTGTCCCTGAATGGTTAATACTCGTGCATTATCAAACATTTGCCCGTTTATTTAACTAGTCAATACTGAATATAGGAGTATAATTTTTCACTAATTATCAATTCATTTACTTTTTTATTCATCCGATAAGCCGAGATGAGTTACAGTACCATACTCATAGAAGACATATGTCGACAACTTTAAATGATTGACATATTAAAAGAAATGCTCAATAATTCTAAACATTTAGATTTCATCATTCATTATAATTGTAACAGATCATTTGAACATTTCAAACATTTAATAAATACATAAAGAGAGAATTCAAGATATTCACTTAGGAATTTTTACTATAAATAAGGATTAACATTAAATGTAACAAAATCTACTTCATCTTGTACTGAATTTATTAGATGAGACTATCATTACATCTTAGTTTAAATGTTGAACACTTCCAGTTGAGTTTAATAGACAATCACCATTTAATTGTACAAATTTATTCTAAGTTCTACTGCTTATAATCTTCTTCTTGTTGTTGAAAAAGTCAACTTGAAAGTTTAATATATAAGAATATGCTGAGAACGCCCTTCATCCTAATAAAGACTAGACAATTTTATTGCTTCCCATATATATATATGCTGATAATATAAATCGTTACAATTATTAATAGGCTTTGTTTCATCAATACCGTTAGGTTGTTTTTTTTATTTTTTTTTAAAAAGGAAGCAACCAAATAGCCGCATAACAATCTTATAACAGTCGTGTTGTTGTCTTTTATTTTTTCTCTAATATAATGAACTAGTTACAATTCTCATAGATCATTCTTAGAGTATTCGTTACATGGAATAGAGAAGATTCTAATTAATTTTAGTTAATCTAATCAACACTATAAGAAATTATACTTGTGTACTTTAATAAATTTTGTATACATAGTTTTTTTTCTTTTTTTCCTTTATTCTTAAGAATAAAGATGTAAGAACTTCTTTTAGTATCCAAGATACTTCTAACAAATATAGTAATAGAGTAAAAGTAGAGTGATGGAGTAAATAGAGTAATGGGATATCTAAAAAAAGAACTACAATAAATGATGGATTATTGAATTAGTGAAACAAAGATAAATTACTACCGAATTCTAAACAAGGTTTATTTAGGCTACTATGATTTATTATAAAGATTCTATATATTTTTTTTAAACATAAATTAATCTGAATACACCATTTATCAATAAGAGCCGTTTGAACTGTTGTTACAATCAATGTTGTAGAATATTCTTTAACATAGGGTATATATTTACAAACATGGAATGGCCAGCTAACCAACTTCTATAGCTGGGTTCCGTTAAGTAGGAAGAGAAACCTTATCCATTCTTTATGCCATCGCATACATCACATATGCAGTACGGAATCATTAACGAAGAACTCGCATTCCTCAAGAAGACTTTGACGGAAAATGGTTACCCAGAACGGTTCATAGAAAAGAATATGAATAAAAGTAGTCGCGAGAAGAATTCTAGTTGTTCCGTTCCAAGAAAAACCTTTATATAAGTCTGGAATTTAAAGGTGACCGAACATCGGACGTAATCAAAAACCGTCTAACAACAACTATTAGAAGAACATTTAACGCGGCAAAATTGCGAATATCCTTTACTAGTAGAAACTTATTTTCTGTATCCATAAAAGATAAGCTTCCGCGTCTGGTCGCCTCCATGTGCATCTACCAGTTCACCTGCTCTTGTGGAGCAAGGTACATTGGCCGTAGCCAGCGCTCGCTTTCAACTCGGATACGAGAACATATCCCAGCCTGGTTCTATAAGGGTGAAAGGAAAGCAGTTAGGAGTTCTATACTTGAACACCTAATCGACTATAACCATTCAACAGATCCACAAATTGACTTTAAGGTTGTTTATATGATTCGTTCAAATCTACCCAGATTTCTTCGTATCCAACTTTTAAAAATAGCCGAAGCTCTTACCATCCAGGAGCTTAAACCAGAACTATGCGTACAAAAGAAGTACGTCTTATCGTTATCGTTACCTTGGCCTTAATTAGTTTAATTATCCTACTATTAATGTTATTATTATTATTATTACTGCATTCCCCCTTTACTTATGTCTTATATCCTCATTGTTTTATTCATGGACGCTCATCATATCATTTATTTTTTTACACCTCTATGACCTTTAATTATTATATCAAAAACAAATCATTTTAATCATCTTATTATATATAATCACCAAATCTATTGTTCTTGTTATTATTCATATTACGTAATCTAGTATTATAACCCTTTTTATTAACTGTGTTCACATTTCCTCACGGAATTAGTACTTTTAAAAAACAAACAATTTTCATATATATACAATTGTACAGCTTGATAATAAATTCGTTGAAAAGAGATCCTTTCGCTGAAATTCGTGTTTTAATTTAATGTTTAAATGGGAATTATCTGTCAATATTCAATCTATTAAATTTATTTACACCGTTGCTATTACTATACTAGTATATATCTTCAATATAATTTCCATTCAAACCTTTTCATGCAAGTAATTTAAGCCTGTTATGTAATTGTGATTTTCAAATATCACAAGTTGTAAACAGCTGACGAGAATCAGACGAAATAGAATGAATTTATGCTATTTTGTTAGAATCTTTATTCTTGCTCTTTTCAAAATGATAAAAGAATCTATGTAAGTTAACAATATTGTTTTTGATTAGATCTTCATCAGGCTTTACTCTGATATACAGTAATATTTATATACATATCAGAAATTATTAAACTAATCCATCCTGTAGAGAAATTTATATTGGGTACACTACCAGACAACTGAACCAAAGAGTTAGTGAACACCTCCCTTCGTGGTTAGGAAAAGGTAATATCAAGACAATACGCAGCTCAATTCTATCACACTTGATCGATAGCGGTTATGTAGTGGACAGAAACAAGTCATTTAAAGTTATTTATTGTATTCGTACTAGTTTTCCTTATGGTGTTCAATCTCTTCTCTTACACATAGTAGAAGCTATATGAATTCGAACCAACAATCCAAGTCTTTGTGTTCATAAGAAATTTGTAACACCCTTATCTCTCCTTTGAACTTTAATAAATGAATTTATTCATTATTATTTTCTATACTGTTTGTTCGTTTATTTTTCATCACACCCTCCCAGCCTTCTTTTCAATCAAATAAACGCTTCATGGTCTAATTATCTAAACACTTCTTAATACGTAATCTTATAATTTTTATAAATATTATCTCACTGCTTTTGATCGAGTTTTGTTTTCAGAGCTGGACGTTTCAGTCGTGGAGCTTTCTACTTTATTCTGGACGACATCATCAGCACAAACTTCAGATAGAAGTCTTACTGTCTATATTTTTCTAATCACTGACCTATTTTTCAAAAGAAACTATGTATATGAAATATCATTAGATTGTAACGATTGTAAACTTACTCAGTCAGTCAGTCAGGTACAACGTAAGACCGGGCACATACATGCATCGGTCGAAGTTGCCACACCTTATTGCACAACAGGACGAACACTGGACTCATAGAAGCAGTTAACTCAGTGATGTAATAAATAAAGGAAAGATTTTATGTAAGGATATAGTACAGAAAGAAAGAATTAATTTGTAGAAGGAAAAATATAAAGCAATTTTAATTTCATAGTTTAAGGGAAGACAGAGAGGGTATACACCGACGCCGTTGTGATCGATTCTGAGCCATGTCACCCACAGTCTTCAACCATTGGTTACGATAGTCACGCGGACCCCAACCAAGTAGTCTGTATCTACCAACATGGCTCAGACCGGAAGTTAGAGTCTTCAAGCACTGATGCCACGTTTTGGTTTGGCCACCCCTAACATTCTTCCAACCATCCTCAACACTAGTCAGCATTGTGCGTCGTGGTAATCGGTGTTCAGGCATACGTAAAACGTGGCCCAAACATCTCAGTCGGTGAAGGTTCACAACCTTATCAATTGATTTACCATTACTCCCTGATACACTGCGTCTACTAATACTACTAATACTGGAAGTAATACGATTAACAGTACTGTATAAGTGTGATTTAGAAGTCTTGTTCGGACAAAAAACTATATATTATCCATTTTCATAATTGGTACTAATTACATTTTGTTAAAATCACTTCATTTCTATAAAAATGTCATAAGAATCTTTTTTTTGTATTTTTGTTTTTCTTCAATAAAAAAAAACAACAAAAAAAGTAACTCATTAATTTATTCATAATTTTAATTTGTCTATTTTATTTATTCTAGTGAAGATGTTGATACAGAAATTGAGTAAGTCAATGTGAATTTGAGTATTTCATATGTTGATTGTCTCTATTAAATTCTTCTTTTTTGTTTGTTATGTAATCATGAAATTTGTATATAGAATGAATAAATGATTTGTATATAGTAATAGTAAATGTTTTATATATTGTCTATATTCTATCTATGTCTGAGTCTATTATTAACCATTTAATGTTTAATTCACCATTTTTAACTTGATGTCAAATAATCTACAGTCGTTTAATACTAAAAGAATGTTTGTATTGTATGTTTAATAGTATACTCAATATAGTAATAATATGATTAAGATAGTGAATATTTAAGTCTTTCAACTATCAATGTATTAACATTAGAATATACATAGATGTATATGTATATTTATATATAGAAAGTCAGTAATGCTTTAATTCAAACATTAATTTACACAATGCATATCATTTGAATAATAATTATTTAATATGCTTGTGTATAAATGAACATAACAAATTAAACCGTTTATTATTCTTTTCAAGTTTTTAAGTTACGATTACAAATAGTGAAAAATGGGTAGCTTAATATTTTATTTATAAATGTATATTTTTATAAAAGAAACTGTTAAGAAGAAGAGAATAAATAGCTTAGTAATTTAGTTATATCCCTTGGATTAAAACAATTTAGTCTATGAATGCTATATACATATACCTTTTAGTTTATTATTGGTGCATACTGAAATCTTCATCTGTAGTCTTACCTACTTCCTTAGATTGAGTTATATAAATCTTCGGTCAATGACAACATACTGAGGATAAACGGTTCTATGTAATTATGGCAAATAGTCATATCAGTGTTTTGTCCAAGTCCAATAATGACCATATTTTCGGCAAACTGAATATAAATACATTATTTAAATAAGTATCAGAAGGGGTTTTGTGGAGATTTTAGTAATTTCAATAGTTGAAATCATGAGTCAATTGAAGCTAGACCATCAATGGAAAACCTGGAAGTACTGAATGGCCGTCTTGTCCTGTTGTGGGAATCCTCGTCAGTGCGCATCCACGACTCCATCTTGCGGGATCCGAACACAGAACCTACTGGTCTCGTGCGCGAGCACCTAACCACTAGACCACTGAGATGGCCAGCATCCAACGGTGTTAATATCTAACTTCAATTAATCTATGAAATTGGGCGACACATCCACCATTGACATCAGTGAGTTCCTATCTCAAAACTGACCCGGTTGAACTCCACTGGTCACTGCTTCTCACTAGAACTCCATGATATACCTCTTGAAGCCAGTCACTAGTGAGCATATGTTGATTAGTGTTAGAAAGGGTGGGGTCGTGGATGCACATTGCTGAAGAGTCCCACAATAGGACGAATCGGTCGCCCAGTACTTCCAGGTTTTCTATGGTGGTTTAGCTTCGATTGAATCATGATCTCAACTATTGAAATTACTTAAATAAGTCCTTATAATTACTAGTAATAAAATGTACAGTACAATCAGCTATGAAATGTGACTATATGATGCAGGTGTGGTTTCATTGATCAGTTCCCTTCTATGGCTAATAATTTCACTTATCTAAATAATATACTTAAGTTTTAGAAAAAACTTCAGTCATTGAAACACTCTTGTTAACTTATTACTTTGAATAACAATAAACTTTCAGGTAGAGGTTTGTGCTGAAGATCTTGTTCAGAAGAACGGTAAAACCTCCACGACCAAATCATCCAACTTAGAGAACAAATCATCCACCTAAGCTACACATCTTCACCATCACTTTTCTAAAAGAAATAATATACCGTAATTTTGCAATTGAGTTCGCTCGAGAAAGACTAAACTATGTAGTCAAATAGAGTATACACTTCAAATAAATTACAGAATAGTAAAAACTAATTATTTCCACTTGAGATAAACTAGGTATTATTTGTAAAGTTAATTGGGAACATTTTCAGCATCAGCTTATTAACAAATATAAATAGTTAACTTAATCGTTATAAAGTGAATGCATTGCGAAAAGGAATTACCTTGATTTAAGTTCATTAATATATATATATATATATATATATATATATATAGCATTTTATACTAATGGTGTCATACACAATACATGTATTCTCATAATTGGAAAGTTTTCTACTCAAAATGTATTAACTCCTGGGAATTCATCTGTTCAATCTGTCCAATTAATAGTTTGGCCCAGTTTACATTAACAATAAACAGTTAAAATAATTTCGCTAAATATATATACACATTTTAGTCAGTCTTCTGATTTTAAAACTGATATGCACGCTTTCTATATACGAGCCTAACCTAATACTTCATTGAAAGAATTACAACCGAATAAAAAGTTGTATTTAAAAACTGAATCGAAATGTACACAAACCCATTGGTATATACATATCGCGGATAATTGAGCCAAATTCTAATCAATAACGTGAATCCGTCAAAACCTATCACCAACCATTTGGTCTTGATATTTCGATTCATCGGTCATTATTACTTCAAATCTTCTGTGATATGAAGTGAACATTTTCTCAAAATCGCTCGTTAACTAGAAATATAGGCGTCACTGAATAGCGTTTTCATTCGTACCCCAATTAGAAGCCAACGAAAAATATGATTTTCTATTTTCAGGTTCTACAGCGAGTATGATACACATCAACAAATGAATCTTGACTTAAAGAAGCTTACTTTAGAAAAAGTGTAACAATTGTTAAATAGCACATGTACCACATGTTTTGTTCCTGGTCAGATTGAACTCCTGAAGTCATGACTTTCATTTGAACTAAATTTCGGTCGAAATCTAGAGAATAAGTAGTAATCTGCCTAATTTGATGTTTTAAGAAACGAATTTATGTAAGATATGAAAAAAATTGTTGGATAAAACGGTGCTCATCGATTTTTACTGTTTCTTTGGTTAATATTAGTCAGTGACCAATGTTAACGATCTCCTTAACCATTAGGCTACCATATTCATCTTACCATCAAACATTTTACCACTGTTTATTCATAAACATAATAAAAATTGATTCATACATCTCCACCCTTCGTATTTTCGTCGAGTTATATGTGAACATCACAATTCCTGTTCTTATAAAATTATTCTCTTATTTATTTTCACTTTTACAGTGATCTAATTGGTGAATTTAATACAACTGTTAGTCGTTTGTTGAACAGTAATGAAAATGGAATTGAATTCAGGTAATGTTTAACTGTTTAAATTGTTGCATATATATATAGTACGTTCTTATTCTATCCAAAGTCCATTAATATCATTCTTTTTTTAAAGATAGATCTGCTCATAGTTTATGTTACGGACTGATTTTATTTACACCACCATCGAAAACCAAAAAGCCTTGGACAGTTATTTCGTCTCATGTATCAACAAACCCTCCACATATCGAACCCAGGAAGTTTGGCAACCCAAGTAAACGCTTAACCTCCAGATCACTGATCACGAATCGATGTTGATTAGTGGAGCCCAACTATATCAAATGTAAGACAGTTATCAACAACAGAAATGATAGATAGTTGCTCAATATCGCTAAACGGTTGAAGTTAGATCGAATTTCAGCTCAATAATCTGAAAATTAACCCCTTATCACGAATCCGAAGGATCTGATTCTGGTCCCTGGATATAGGGTTATGGATATCCACTGTCGAGTAGTCCCATACTTAGCCGAAATGTGCGTTTAGTGAGTGCTATTTTCCAATAGTTGTTTAGCTAAGATTAGCCCGTTGTTGAAACTATGGAAACTTAATCACCTCTAAAAAACCTATATTAACAGAAGATATATAAATTGCTAGTTATTTTCGCTTCTTATTCCATAAATCCATTGTTCGTATTACAATTAATTAAAAAATAAGTTAGAATATGTAACAAAACTCGTTCAGAATACTGTATTTATTACGTGTTGTCTTTCAGTCCCACCCCCTCATTAAATAAAAATAGATGTTCTTACAAATAAATATTCAAAAACATTTTTCATGTTTTCACCGTTACTTTTACTATTTTGTACCCTTTTTCTCCTTCTTCTGATTAAAACGTAATCAACTTATTTCATTCTCTTTTAAAAATACATAAAATATAAGTACATTAAGTCGATGAGTCCCTATTAAGATGTAATAAGTGTCATAGATCCCACTATTAATCACATATCATTTATTCTAAAGTACAAATGTATACTATTTGTTTTCTCAAGTTGATGGTAATATTACGTAACAAAGGTTACTAGAATAATTTTCCTAGCAAATAAAATGGATTCAGTTTGTGATAGAATACAGTTCATGATAAGATGTTTGTTTGTTTTTTTTGAAAAAAAAGTAAAACATCAATTCGTGATAAACCCTTTACTAAACATCATTAAAAATTCTCACAATGGGACGAAACGGCCGTCCAGTACTTCCAGGTTTTCCATGGTGGTCTAGCTTCAATTGGCTCATGATCTCAACCATTGAAATTACTATATTATCCACAAAAGCCCTTCTGATATGAAAAATAACTAGTCCGAAGAAAATTCTCATGATACATAAAATAGGTGAAATAGAAAATTTGCTGTTGTTTAAATCATTAGTTCATATTCACTTTTATTCATAAATATGTAGAGTTTAAATTGATATATTGAGACAATTCATTATTTACAACTGATTGATCATTGGGTGGTGATTAATGTCATGTATGCCAAGACCTTCTTAGTGCAAATCTAATCCTATTGACCAAGTTGCAATCAATTGTAAATACATCTCATTTCTACAGGAGGTCTCTGACTGTGAAGCTGGTTGACACGGGATCGAATCCATCAGGGAACATCAATTCCCTCAAAACTACAGATACACCTCGCTGACGAGTGCCAAGTAGCACGAAATCTAGGTCCACGGTTTCCTGTTGACTACCTTCAACCACCATTTTATCATAATTCATTGTATATCTATCAGCTTATTTGTTATTTGAATAACTAAGTTTTTTTGCCTAAAGAGACAAACGGTGTTGCTTATCTGAAGATTTAAAAATTCAAGATCCAAGTTATCTTTGTATCCATAATTGAGAACTGAAAAGAATTGTGTATTTAGAAATACTAAAAGTATTTACAATTGGTTAACCTTCAGCAATAATCGAACTAACGTCAATTAAGATGAATATTATGTTTAGATATTTTTGATTGAAATCATATTGTTAATTAGTATTCTGAATGTTATGTAGTTTCACCGCAGAAACTAAAGATAACTGTTGGATGGTAAGTGATGACTATACTTTTCTGAAAAGCTTTAAACTAGGAGAAAATTGTTATCCAGTTCACTTTAATTCCATAGTTGATAATAATCTATGGTGAAAATAAAACTGAATATAAGTTAATCTTGATTGATCTGTCAATCAAATGCTTTAAGATTTTCTTTCATATAACAATAATAAAACAATCAGAGATCTGCTGTAAAACAAATTAACTTGATACTATGTAATAAAAATATTTAGACATGATGAATTCCAACATAATCAACTAAATGCATTTGATCATTTCTCTAGTTAGTATTGCATTAACATAAGAATGGCTTGTTGTTAATTATAAGCTGAATCAATCACATACAAGTCAAATGACTAATGTAAAATACTAACTGATGTAAGCTATTATTAGTAAAGATTTAGCTTAACTTTCTTGGTAGACATGTATACGCTATTGGATAAAAATCTAGTTTAATCTTTTGAGGAACATATATCTCTGTTTATGAATGGTGTGGATAATTTCTTTCATTAACTCACTATAGATATGATATCATTTAATAATCTAAGTTATTAATCGAAAGGAATAGTCTCATCAGAAGTAAATATATCATTGTAATATGTAGAATAAGAATTTAAAACTCTTGACGCGTTGATTAATGTCGTTAGAGTTTACTTTTCAGTATTCATGACTACCTAACAAAGTATAATGTAAATATGTAGTTAACATCTTAAATAGTTTAATCTAAATTCATATAGTCCAAACAGATTATAAACCAAACTTCATTAGCTCATTTTAGTAATCTGCTTAAGCGGTGATAATCTGTGGAAAATCGTCAAACTCCAAGTTCTTTAAATGACAGTTTATAGTCAATAAAAAAATTGGAAATTACAAGTCCAAACTCTTTTTAAATGATTCATAACACCTGATATATATAACCTATTCCCCCCTTTATTTTCATAATTTTAAACTATGGAGATATTTACAGGTTTTATCACCCATTTACTTAGCTATACCGAAATATAAACATAAACAGTTTAGTGGTTGTGGAGATTGTTAAGCTTTTGATTAACGTGATGAACCGATTGATGTTAGACAACCGTTGAAAACCTGGAAGCATTGGACAGCCGTCTCGTCCTATTGTAGGACTCCTCAGCAGTGCGCATCCACGATCCCACTCACGGGATTCGAACCCATGGCCTTCATCTCGTGTGCGAACGCTTAACCTACTGGACCACTGAGCTGGCATCCAATGGCGTTAATGTCTAACCTGAGGAGTCCCACAATAGGACGAAACGGCCTTCCAGTGCTTCCAGGTTTTCAATGGTGGTCTAACATCAATCGGTTCATGATTTCAATCATGAACATGTCTGTTCTGTTTACATGAACTGTTTAATACATGCACGAATTCATTTATAAAGCCTTTCCTTATAAAAGTCATTTATGGAAAGAAAACATCAAATAAAATAACTATTTCCCAGTTGAATAAACATTTCGGTAAACAGTTGATAACATTTACAAAGCTATGATAACTGTCAACCTATTTTATTGATGAAAACATAAAATATGTGTAGTGTTTTGTGCTTATTTTGAATACCCATTCGTTTTCGTAGTAATCACTAATAAAATAAACTTTCAGAATTGTATGTGTGTATAATTCTAGAACATGTTAAACGAACAGGCAACTGAACAGCTTGACTTCAAAAATAAACACACAAAAATAAATATGAAACATAAATGAGCATGTTTTAGAAGAGATTAAGCTGATATACCTTAAAGTCTTTTTTAAAAAACATTCCTTATATATAAGTAAAGATGGATAGTGTCTAGCAGTGGAATCCAGGACGTTCGTTTCGTTCTATTTTGAACTCGTCATCTGGATGTATCTGCATCTCAGAATTGATATTCACTCTGGGACTTGAACCTCGTATCGTTCGCTTCAAATATCATCATGTTATCTACTTAACTATTGAGTCCCTATATAATTTTATTTAGCTCAATTATTCAATAGATCATCTATTATAAAAATACATATTTTTTAAAGAAAAAATCACTTATTCTATCTTATAATTGTAAAATCTAATAGCATTTTCTTAAAGATTAATCTCTTCATTATTTATATTATCTAATTTTCTTTTGAAATATAATGAGATATTTTTCTATCAAATTTACCGATTCATTAACTAATCCATTGAACAATACATAAATGAATTTGCTTTTTGTTTACAGTCTTTACAAAAATAAAAAAATAAGTCAGTGATTGTAAATTACATATATAATGATAATGATACTAATACTACTACTAATAATAATACTAATAATAACAATAATAGTAGTTATTATTACTATAAGGTAGTCTAAATTAGATAACAATGAAACAAATTGTGTTTATTTTTCATATTTGTTTTCTTGATTTCTCTTTTATTCGCCATCAACAGATTAATATTATTCATTCATTCATTCACTCTTTTTTTTTTCATCAATTATGTTCTTTGCGCTGAATTCCCCTTGATTAATTTGCCTCGTTATTATTATTATTGTTATTAGTTTAGTTAAGTATGTGTTATATTCAAATTTTATGAGATGGATCACATTGTACAAATAAATGCAAATTAGTAATTTATTTTTAACCTGTTTTGTTAAAGGAATAGTAATAATAAACATGCATATATGAATCTCACGAGAAAAGATAAACACCAACTTGTGTTTTGAATAATCCTTTGTAAAGGATAGTGATTGGATGTAATTAAACCAAATAACTTAGCGATAAGATGTTTGATTGTGAAGCTGGGGATGCGGAATCGAATATATGGCGTACAGTTTGCTTAACATAACAGGTACACCTTGTTGGTGATTGCTGAATAGCAAACTATCCATGTCTTGAGCATTTTGTTAATTACCCTCAATAATTATCTTACACCTAAATATAGTGCACGCGATGTTGAGTTACAAAATGTGCCATGTTTTGTATCAGTTAGCATTATACGGTTAAACATATCTGAAGTTGTACAGTAACTAATGGTTCTCATTAACGCCGAATATACATAACTCAGTTTTACAGTGATAATTATAAGGTCAGTATATATAACTAATAATGATCAGTATGGGATTGTGGAGATTACTAAGTGTTTGATAGAGATCATGAATCGATTGATGTTAGACAACCTTTCAAAACCTAGAAGCATTGTACGGCTGTTTTGCTTAACCATGGGACTCCTCAGCAGTGCGCATCCACGATCACGCTCGTGGGATTCGAACCCAGCACCTATCGAACTCACGCGTGAACGCTGGTTCAGTGGTCTAGAGGTTAAACGTTTGTGCTCCAAACCGACAGGCCCTGGGTTCAAATCCCGTGAGCGTGATCGTGGATGCGCACTGCTGAAGAATCCCATAATAGGACGAATCGGCCTTCCAGTGCTTCTAGGTTTTTAATCGTGGTCCAACATCAATCGATTTATGATCTCAATCAAAAACTCAATAATCACCAATTATTCAGATGTTAAAATTACGATGATAACTTTTTGGCATTTTCCATGATACTGACCATTTCAATGACATTGTCGTAAAGTTGTGTATATTTAACAATTTTGAAATTACATTCTAATGCTATGAATTCATAGAAGTTGTATTACAACAATTATTATATCATCAGGTGAAATCTATTGGGATCAATTGAAATAAACTTCACCTCAATTCATAAAGTAGTTTTGTTTGTTTCCTTCAAACTACATTACGATCAATTCATTTCTAATTATATTAATGACATCGATTAGATATTTGTTTAACAAGAATATTAAATAATTAAGACTCTTATACTTATTATCACTCCCTATTAATCCTTTCCTATGAAACATTATTACAACTAGAGATTTTAACTTTTTCAATTCATATCATCTGATTAGTACTGTTGTAGCAATATCATAGATATATTTCCTACATTTTGTGTAACATTCACGTCGTCGTATTATTAAAGCTGTAAATTATCATCTTAAAACTAAAACGTCCACTTTTCTAATCATCATTTGAAATGGTATTGGTTAGTTAAATTTTGATCAATGTAAAATCTTTCTTCTCTACTAATGACCATTTTAATCAAATTGTTTATATCCAATCTTCACATTTGCATTTTATGATGTAACATTTATGGGTCAACAGATATAATGCGAAAAAATCAAAGTCGTTAAAAAAGATTGTTTATTCAACCTTGTATGTCCTTAGCTATACGATTGTCGCAAAATACGATTGCCAATTTAGATATGCTGACTTATACGACCCAACTAATGACGCATACACCAGTACGAGTAGACTAGAGTTTCGATTAGTCCTTTTTCTGTCTAAACCTGCCTGTCAAGTTCAGAACGCCAATTTCAGCCTCCGCATATATTCCAAACATACTGGATTTATATACAAGCAAAAGCAGACCACATCATACCATAAAATAGAAAATAACATTTATCCAAGATCTAGACAAAAGTGGCTGTGATTGTGAGAACTGTTACTATTAAATTGGGAATATCTCATAAATAGTAAATCGTATGATAATAGCCAATAAGTCAAACAGCAGATTATAATCAAAGGAAAATGAATATACATATAATATAGTTATTTAGTAGTCATACAATAAGAATATTCGTATAATATTCGTCCATAAGTAATTCCTAACTGTTATTATCCATTTATTCCCCTCCGGATATAACACAATCACTCGTCTCCTTTTTTTTTCCAATATACTATATGAAATTTTAAACCAGTTGCCAAAAGCCATAGGTAATAAGTTATAATTACTGTTGTTTTTATTCATCTTTAATTAATTCCCAATAATTTCATCAGTTCACCAGTTCATAAGTAAATCAATATTTAAAGTTATTAGTCTACAATGTATTTTAATCAAAAAAAGTAGTTCACTGACTATATAATGTAATAATAAACTATATTTAATATAGTAATATATATATATATGATGACTAAATAATATTTATATTTAGTAATGACATAGTAACAATAACTAGTAACTCTATGGAAACTGATAGATTTATCCACAAATTTTAAATTATTTCCTTCATAACGAGATATATGTACAGATTAAAATATGAATGACTTCAGGTTAACTGTCATTTAATTGAGAAACATTAAATAATTGTTTAAAGAGAATTATCATAATAAAATGGATTACAGTGTTCAAATATCAAATATTTATTCATTTTATTGGTTAAATTCATAAGTTAATTAAAGGTAAACCATTATGGAAAACCTGTAAGCACAGAACAGCCGTTTTGTCCTAATATGGGATTTCTCAGTAGTACATATCTATTTGTTTAAAACTATTAATCAGTATGAACTGATGATCATCAAATATTTAAACTATGTTATATGTACTATATTTGTATAATGTTTAGTTGAAATTCAATAATTCATATTCTCACCATGAAATGAATCATGATCCATAACAAATGTTATGTATAAAGTAATAACGACATCTAGAATTAGTGAAACTTCATTATTCACAGAGTTCAGTTAGAATCTTAATAAATCTTTATCGAAGCTATTCGATAATAAACATATAAATAATATTTTAGTAAGTACTTTTACAAAAATATTTTGAACATTCACTTGGTATTGTTTGGCTTGTATCTTCCCATTGAGGTTTAAGACTGTAATTGATCAGTCTCTTATTGGCATATGTGCATACTGTTCGTATACCTCGATATTACCTTAATTCATAAGCGTTTTGTAAGCAGCGATGGGTAGTGGCTAGCAGTGGGATCCAAGATGCGTGTTTCGTCCTATTTGAGATTCGTCAGCTAGATGTACCTGCATCTCAGAGTTGATGTTCACTCTGGGACTCGAACCCAGTACCATTCGCTTCAAACGCCATCGCGTTATCCATTCAGCTATTTTAAACAGTTTAAAGATGGTAATAATATGAAATGACGTGAACCGAATTCTAAGTACTGTTCAACACTTTCATACTTGAAGGAAAATGAACTGTCATATCATTTCCTGATAAATAAATAAAAATAACTACCTTTAATCTAAACAGATTCCTTCAAAAATAGTTCATTATTATGAGTATTACTATAAATATCTAAATTAATAGATTCTGAACAAATTATCTGATAAATAAGACCTCACAATCAACATGTATTTACTTGTTAAATAAGTATCCTTAAAATTGATTTTATTTTTGGATTAAAATTATTTTATCCCATGATTACATATGTTCATTTTTGAAATTATTCAATGTTCCATTCTCTCTGATTTTTTTTCCCGCTAAACAGTTGATTAATATGCCGAAGAAAAAACGGAAAAAATGCTATCAGAATTCTGGTCTAGTAAGTTTATGCAATATTTGTATTACTACACACACACACACGCACACATACATAGATACATAGAATAATTGTGTTAATATTAGGTTGGTTGATTTTCTGGCATGTAGTGCAAAGTTTTATTTTTTTCAATAAAAAAGAACAAGACTCAGCAATTATTCTATTGAAAATTAAATGTTAACATTTAGCTTTAGTTTACATTTAAAATGTTGAGTGCAAAAAAAGTAAATTATTAGTTAAAATTTGCTTTTGTTGTGTCAGAAAGTTTCAATCATCTATGGAATAACCATACTGAGACATGAGAATACATGACTGATACTTAACGATACTTAGTTTTCCATAGTTTGAATCATAAATTGATATTAGTTAAACCGTGACTGAAAAGCTCTAACCACCGGACGACGTTTCGTCTTAGTATGAGACTCCTCAGAGTTGTCAACCCATAACATTGCATTAGAAAATCGAACTCCAGACGTTTGGTTCCGCGCCTGAACGCCAGACTCCTAGACTACTGGTGTACATGTTCAAATTAGGTCAATTTACGATACTGTCCAACACTCATCCATCGACTATTGTGAATAACTGTTTCATACTCGACATGCATGAAATCCAGTGGTCTCGGCTTCTTACTCGAATGAAACATCTGTCCAGTGCTTCCAAGTATTCAATGAAGGTCCAGATAAGATCAGTCTATGATAGTCTTTATAAATCCTTATATACTGATATGTTGTTTATATTAGGGCGCAAAAATAATGGTTATGTCAACCTTTTTATACGTGTTAGGTGTCTCATTAGTACTAATAAATTAGCGGTTTGAGAAATTTCGATGATGACAGAAGAACAATCATATGACTTTTGCAAATTTACGCCACTTCTGAAACTGATGATATATTCATCTGCTATTCCAAGACCAACTATGTTATTCACTAGTTCCCCCTGTATTGTACTACAAATGAATTAAATAGTTACCAAGGTTATCATACGTTGAACGAACCACTAAGCAATGAATACAGTTAATGTAAAACGTACATGTTAAGACAAAGTTGTCCATATGTTGTGATGACTGGAACATGTGTTCTTTATGGTATAACGTAAGCTATGATATGATATCAGTCCATAAGATAATCGACTGATGATTTGAACTGTGTCCGGAATTCCAGATTCCAACTGGAACCTTAGAGATAACAGTAAGCAACGGTATAAGATTTTGTGATAGTATGTTTTAAAATTGGTGACAGTAGTCCCGATAATCTTATCATTAGTTTTAATTCATCTTTTCGTATGTTTCAGTTTTTCACAAACATACCATTATTATTGCTAAATTAGTTCCTTAATTTCTTTGCATTGTGCTAATGCGAATCATGAAAAATCGAAACGATAACCATTTCTAGCCTGTCCTTACGTCAATCATATTTAAAAGCATACTCTGATTGACGTTTTAGCTATCCGAACAATTATATTAGATTAAATAGGTATTTCGAATTAACTAGGTAACCTTGAACATAACAAACGTTCGTGTAAAATAAACACTGATAATATCGTTCAGAACGCCATTGAAAACACAATTAAACTCCCTCATTGATAAACGTTCACATAGACAGTTATCTATAAAAATTGATGGAATGCATCAATTTCCATATTTCTAAAACAACTCTTCAACAAATCATTAAACAATGAATTTTTCAATTTTAATCAAATCTAATGAATCTAGAAATTAACGTCTTTCTAAAAATCATTAAAACTTATTTCGATCGTGATCATGAACCAACCAATGTTAGACCACCATTGAAAGCCTGGAAGCACTGGATAGTGGTTTTGTCCTAGTATGGGACGCCTCAGTAGTACACATCTATGATCTCGCTCGCGAGATCCAAACCCAGGACCTTCGGTCCCGTGTGCGAACACTCAACTCCCAGACCACTGAGCTGACATGCAACGGTGTTAATGTCTGACTTCAACCAATCCACGATATCGCGCGACCATCTTCCACTGTCTTCGGTAGGTAACTACCTCACCACAGACACGGTTGATCTGCAATAGTCAAAGCTTCTAACTAGAACTCCGAGAATGACCTCTCGAAGCTAGTCACTAGTAAGCACTTGATTATTATGAACAAAAGGTTGTGGAGATTGTTGAATTTTGATTGAGATCATGAACATTGATCGAGTTATGATCTCAATCAAAACTCAACAATCTCCACAATCCTATATTGAATAAAACTTATTGTTATCGATCAGATTTCATAGTTGGTAAGCATTTCTATATCATCTATAAAAAGCACTTGAACAGAAATATAATCAACAAAGATTATTATATAGGCTTAAACACTTTAGACCTTAGTTTCGTTAGTGTTTTGTTCTATGGACCTAGTCAGTTAATTATTATGCATTTATTGTATTTATAGATGTCATCGGCTTAAAACTTACTAAGAAATAGCAATATTCATATCGTGATTATTATTATTACAAGAAAAACCCCACAAATAAGCTAACGGTTGTTCTCCAAACATAGGAATGAATCGATCATTGATAAGAATTAAACTGATAATGTCTACTCCTTTATTTTAATTTTGTTCCTTATCCTAATTATTATACGTTGTTGTGACTCATTCACTGATGGATTTGATAGTTCTCAGTATATTTATTGATTGCTGAATAAACTATTAGCCAAGCTACGGAAAACTGTATGATTGTCATTTTGTGTAATCCTTGTCTGATGTTTCAATATTTTCCCATTTGAAATCTTGGGTACAGTTATTCTTCAGCATTGAAACTATTAGTGATGTCACTCTCTTTGAAGTTTTTAAGTTTGATAGCATCAGTAAAGATAGTAAAAACTTCACAAATAAACTGCCAAGCTCATAATATCCCAGTTCTCCTCTTACTCACGTACAGACTTTCTACACCATCTTAAGATACATCTACTTGATAAATAATTTTGTGTTACCTTGAAAAGTCCTACTTTGTTATGTGAATGATTAAGCAATGTCTTCAAATTTCCATTTTACTCATACGTTAAGCCTTGATTTCAAAGCAAATTAAACCGTTGCATAATTATGTAACCTTTTCCAACCAATTTGTAATCTAATGAAAATAAGCTTGTTTTGTATTATTAATAAATAAGAGCTTGGATTACCCGATTGCTAAGATTCAGGACTAAATTTTAATCATATTTTGTTGACATATATGTATCCCGCTTGAAATACCTCAATATAACTATTCTATTACATTTTTTAAAAAAGCTGGATGGACTTACATATCAGGGTTTGTAGTTATCTCGAGGTAATCTTCATAAGATCTAAACACATCAGAAAGTATGGATTAAAATTTGAAGCTGAAAACTAACAACGAGATAATTCAAATACTTACTAATAATTATACAAAGATCATACGTATTGAACAAGACATCGATTATCAGTACCTAGTGATTCAATAGATAAACAATTGCTATTTGAAGCGAAAGCTATTGTGTTCAAATCCTAAGTGTGAATATTAACATTAGGATATAAGTGGATCTATATTGTCAAATCCCAACATAGGAAGAAAAAACATTCGTTCTAAATTTCAGCTCTAGACATAACCTATATATTTTATTTATTTCTTCTTGATATACATTATGTTACATAATGTTCCGATAAAGATTTTCATGGATTAAAATTAAGTAAATAAGTATCGCCTGTAAATTAAACTATACAATAAATGACCTGAGAATTAAATGAACCATTACTTGATACATCATTCATTACTCAGTGTTCTCCTCTCTCTCCCTCTCTCTCTCTCTCTCTCTCTCTCTCTATATATATATATATATATATATATATATATGTTTGCTTCCTTCTGAGCATACAGCACTTTCAAATGTCTATAAATTTTCATTCCTTTATAAAACTCCCTATGGAATAGATAAGAAAAATTTTGAGTTAACAATGTTTTGTTTTCATCATCATAATAACAATTAAAAAATAATAAAAAAAAGGAAAATTCTCTTTTTTCTTTTTATGACGGAAAAAATCGAAAAAAAGATTTTTTTATGAGAAAAAAAAAGAGAATTTTAAGGTCATTTTGATCTCTCGTTTTTTTGTTTGTTTCTTTAAAAGCAACAAAAAAAACCCTCCCTTCTTTGTTCATTCGTTTAATTAGTTCAATCATACAAACAAACAAACAAACAAAAATCCACCCAAAATAAAATGAGATAAGATAAATTTAAGAAAAATTTAAAAAGCAAACTCTATTATCACTTTTGATTACAATCATAATAGTAAAAATTACATTTTTACTTATCAAAATATTAAAAAAAATCATATACATTGTAATTGTTTTATATTTCACTTTTACATAAATAACGTTTACACTTTCTCTATTTCTTTCTATCTACCAATGACACTTTTCATTGACCTTAACAACTAAAAACAATATGATTGTATTATTTACTTGAATAAAGTTCAAATTAAAGGTGATAACCGCATCATTCACTTCATTGTGATAATCATCTTTATGTGATTATAGGAATAACGCCTTTGGAATTAGTTTTTTTTCTTACCTTATTTCATAGTAAATACAAATAGATTATTTCAATGGTTAAGATCATGAGTCAGTTGAAGATAGACCACCATGGAAAACCTGGAAGTACTGGACGGCCATTTTGTCCTATTGTAGGACTCAGGGGTCTAGTGTTTAAGTGCTCACGCGCGAAATCAGTAGGTCCTGGGTTCGAATCTCGCAGGGTACGAGGTCGTGGATGCGCACTGATGAGGAGTCCCACAATAGGACGAAACGGCCGTACAGTGCTTCCAGGTTTTCCATGATGGTCTAGCTTCAACTGACTCATGATCTTAACCATTGAAATTACTTTAATATCCACAAAACCCATCTGATATTAAACAAATAGATTACTCTAATATAAATATTATCAAATCAACAGGCAAACTGTTGTTGGTCTCTTAAAATGTAAAACGAAGTTTATATATTGGAACTAATGACATTGTGAATTCTCTACTATAAGGATTTCATTGTTTTATCTAACTATTCTCTTCATATATATAAAGTTGTTGGGTTTTATGAGCTATGTGGATGAATTGTGAAGCTTTTGATATCGTTTGAACAACATTATAAGTGTTTACTTCATGTAGAGTTAAGTATCCTAGTTCAAAGCAGTTTACAAAGATAATCAATAATAAATATAACCATAAGAATAAAACTGTTTTAATGGTTGTGAAATAAATAAAATCCTAATTTTTACATGAAATAAATTGTGATGATGTTGTCCAGAACAACAATAAAAGCTTCATAGATAATAAAATATCTAGCTAAGGAAATTCAATAACATTAAAGACATCCACTTGTATGTTATAAGTTTTCATTATCGTATGTATGTAGATGTATTGAGACTGTATTTTGTCATTGACTAATATCAATGAAATTCAGGTAACATTATTGAAACATTCATCAATCTTCTCATGAAAGCTATCATTATTGTCAACAAAGATTTTGTTTATCGTTTTATTTTCCTTTCCTTTTTTTTCTTTTTTTGTTTAGCTTACCGTAAAATTATATTTTGCTCAATCGAAATTTTCATTTCTTGATTATATATTTGGTGGGTAAGTAAACTGTTTTTTTAAAATCAGAATATATCAATGTGTGACAACTTTTTTTTGTAATTCTGTAACAGCTTAGGTTGGTTGGTTGGTTAAGAGTTGACCTCAAACAACTAAGCATATGCCAAAACAGTATAATTCAAGTGTTCATTCACTTCCTTATTTTGTTATAGGCGTTATATTTCCTATTATCTTATACTGAATGTTGAGAGCCTTTGTTTGTCTGAACAAATAACCCCACGCTCCACTGTGAATGTGCGAAGATCTAAATAAAGACCTATTCACTACTTGTCTGGTTTCTTCTATCAATAGCACAAGGGTTACCTAGAGGCACGAAAATTCTGTCTAAGAATTCAATGTGCAATAAAATCAATTTTAAAAAAAATCTATACGAATGTATTGCACTTTTAATTTTTATAAACTATTATCATCAGTGTATGTTTCAATAACATTTGCCCTGTAAATTATATTATTATCTAAAAATATTACCTCCAAATTAATCTGTAGTGTTAGTTACTATGTTAAGCCCATATAACTTATTCTAGCTTCTGGACATGTCAATTTATTCATCTTTCTTGAGTCACATTTTGACCATGTTAATTATTCGCTTATTAACGTTGATTGTTTCATGTAAACGTATGTGTGTGTATTTTTAAAATGGTATTCATCACATGTCTGTAACTTATTTGTATTGAACTATAAATATCGATTAATGATTGGTTGAATTGAGTTGGCTCACTCATTTACTCCACTGAGCGTCATTTAGTTTCGCTACACTCTCTCTCCTATTTACTTCCTGCATTCCGTACCCTGATGGTCTGTGCAGATCAACGATTGTACGAAATAAAACTTCATTCTCGTATTTGGTTTATTTAATTCCGTTGTTCACTTGTAGTGTGGCGTTGAGTCGCAGTTGACTATGATCAACACTACAGGAAGACCACGTACCATTTAACCGATAAGATCCCCCGTAAGCCAAATATCAGAAAGCAGTTGATGGCTGCAGTCGAAATGTATTTGTTGACGATTTTGTGGTATCGAAAGAATACCGAGGTCTTGCCAGGTTACAAGTGTAGTTACTGAGCGTAACCGAATTCGTGAAAGGTCACAATCAATGGAAGAATGTATGTGTTTTGGTACAATAAAAAAAACAAGTACGGTAAAACAATCCCTAGTACAATTGGTTATAATAATAATTGTTTTCATTACACCAATCGCGTTCTCTTGATAAAAGTAGGTCACTACACACTAACGAGAGTTAAGTCGATAATTATATATGACGATAGGCGATATATATGTTTCAATAACAATCATTCATACAATATTACTGGTGTCAGATAAAGAGCCACTAAAATTCCATGAAAGTTTCTTGTTATCACTATTAAATTAAGCCAGTCAATTAAGATCAAGAGTCTTTGATAATAATTTATTTTTAATGGTGAACTGATCCCGACTGAAGAATCTTTAAAAGCCACTAAGCATTTAACAGTTGTTTCGTCTTCGTTTATATATCAGTTATCCTTACTGATAATCGTTATTTAGTTTTCCCATCATGGCTCGACATATATATATATATATATATATATATATATATATATATATATATATATATATATATATATATATATATATATATATATATATATATATATATATATAGGTATGTGAACTTCATTGTGTGATTTTGATTCTGAAACAATATGAATTCCAAATAACAACAGTTGTATTCCATAATAAGACTCACTAAACATTATATGATATTGATGAGACGTTTCCATCATGATAAATTTTATAAAAATCGATTGGTGGTAAATATTGGCTGAAAGTGAAAATCTATTGTTGTGGTCCTACGATTTCTCTTTGAATAAATGACATTTAATCTTCATATCATGTGTTATTTGATCGATTGATTGATTGATCTCTGAGCAAGAGCCAGTATTATGCTATGCTGATCTAATGTGATTAATAATCACAATTACATAACATCACGGAGCACTATGTTTCCATATCAGTTGAAGATAATCTGTAAGAATCCTGTTTTTAATCAAGATTTTTTTGTCGATTGATATTTGTTAAGAAAACATATCTGAAATCATAGAGTAACTAATGTTTCCAACATGTTATAATCAGAAACGTTACCGTTGAATTATTCCGTTCATGATTAGTGATCATAATGAAACTGAAACAATGAGTAATCTGTAAACTTTTAATTAAATGGTATCGATTAATATCTTCATATAAATTCTGATTACCTAAATGGTGAATTTAATTGTAACCTAACAACTTTTCCATGTCATTTGTAACATTTAATCAACATATGCTCACTAGTGACTGGCTTCAAGAGGTATATCGTGGAGTTCTAGTGAGAAGCAATGACCAGTGGAGTTCAACCGGTTCAGTTTTGAGATAGGGACTCACTAATGTCATTGGTGGGTGTGTCACTCAATTTCGTGGATTGATTGAAGTTAGACATTAACATCGTTGGATGCCGGTCAGCTCAGTGGTCTAGTGATTCAGTGCTCGCGCGCGAGACCAGTAGGTCCTGTGTTCGGATCCCGCAAGATGGAGTCGTGGATGCGCACTGATGAGGAGTCCCGCAATAGGACGAAATAGCCATCCAGTACTTCCAGGTTTTCCATGATGCTCTAGCTTCAATTGACTCATGATTTCAACTACTGAAATTACTAAAATCTCCACAAAACCCCTTCTGATATATTTTTTTCTCATTTATTTTCCACATACATATACACTCTATTTTCACAAATTTTCTTAATCTTTCCTAATATGATGACACATTAAACTAATAACATAAGATGTAATTCATGGTTATTTTTATCTTCATTTCTGTTCATATGTATTATGATATGTATATTGATATATCTCTTGCTTATTTAATCTTTTAGTCAATATATTCATTATAATTAGATGACCTCATCATATGAATGTCATATTCTATGTATCTGGTTACTTCCTGTATTCATCGGTATATATAAACATTATCATCATCATCATCCTGATTCTTATCTAAAAGGCATTATTATTATTATTATTATTATTATTATTATTATTATTATCAATTTCTAGATGTGTATGTATATTAGTTTATAATGTAACCAACCTATCGTTTTGTCACTATGTCACTCAAATAAGATTTACTAAACTTATCTGAGAGGATTATTCTAATAAATCACATTAATCAATATTCATTATTTGTCCACATTCTTATTTATTATTTATTTCATTTGATATGTGTACGGTCAACAAAAAATATTGTTGTTTATTTCTTACAGATGATAATCAATGAGCTAGTTGATATTTTTATCATATTCTTTAATAGATTTTTACTCATATTAAATAATGGCTAAGTGTAAAATCTAGAAAGAATGTTTTAACCTATTGAGGATTTAACACATACACCTATCTATATCCCATTGTTAGTGTTCACAGTTAAATGAAAAGGACTAGGTTCAAATCTCAATATGAATATCATCACTACTACGTAGATGCATTCAGTTGATCTGTGACAAAATAAGGCAAAACTCTCATCCAAGATTTTATTTTTAGTCACTTTCCAGCTTTACTAATTGCTTGTAACTAAATGATAATATGTATACAATCTGTGCATGATAAGCATATGCCATTAGTAACTGACTAAAAATACAAATCCTTACAAATGCAACCTAATCGGAAACCGTAATGTACTGGATGAAAGAAACTGGTGTATTGATTGTGATATTCATGTAAGAATGTGAAAAGCTTCCTTTTAAATAACATTCAATCGGTATTATCTTTACGATACTGTTATTCAATCACAGATTTTTTTTTAAAAATAAATTTTAAGATGGTCAGGCTAGAAATAACTAAAGCAAGCAAACTTTATTTTAAAATATCCTCAACATTTTCTCACTGGATTACAATAACTGAATTTGTACTAAACCATCCTTTTTTTCATTTCGATCAGTACTACTTCTTAAATAATTAACAAAATTATGTCAAGTAAAGATAAAAGAAATGTTTAAAAAATTTGTGTGAATGTGTATTTGTAAGTGTACGAGTATATTAATTTGAATGCTTTGAGTATATATCGCCTAAGGGTAGAATGGATGTCGGAATCTGGTTTTATTTAATTTAAACAATTAAGGTAGATCGGTGTTAAAAAGGAAACATTTTTAGCTAATTAAATCCATTGGGATTCTACCTAACTTTGTATGTTACTTTTTTGTAAACTTTCGGAACATACACAAAAAATTGATGACAATGATTAATAACATTTTTCAAAAGTTTAAAATGAATCTATTAAAGGTAATAACATAGAAAATCTTATCCTTGACCATTGGAATTAATCTGTGTCAGGTAGATACAGGTATCTACCTCAGACAATGGAAGATGATCATGGATTAGTTGAAATTAGACATTAATACCGTAGAATGTCGGCTCAATAGTCTGGGATTTGAGTGTTCGTACACCGAACCGAAGGTCCTGGGTTCAGATCTCGCAAGCGGGATCATAGATATGTACTATTGAGGAGTCCCATACTAGGACAAAACCACTATCCAGTGCTTCCAGGTTTTCAGTGGTAGTCTAACATTGATCGATTCATCATCTCAATTAAAACTTAGCAGTCTCCACAACCTCATACCTATACTTCTATACCTTAAAGCATTTACATGGAATAAAAAGTTTATAGTCAAATTAATAACTAAATGAGTATATCATTCTAAGTTGAAAACTGTGATGACCTCGAAAAGTCCTTCCTTCGCTGTTCAGTGAAGGATACGATCGATGAATATAGAGAAATTCGAAAACATTGAAAATAACTACCAACATTCATTAGTAGTAAACAAGAAAGAAAAAATAAGGATTTTCAAAACACTGTTTGTCACTGACAAATGATTACGATTTTGAAACATTTCAGCATCTTTTTTCCAGGGATAGACCCTATCCCAGAGTAATATATTATAATTTTGAACAGTGACTTGATTCGATTCAATTGTTTGCAAATTCTACCGAAAATTTCGTCCATATAAACCTAGCATTATACTTTAGCAAATCATTATTTGTTGTTTTTCCCCGGTAATAACTGGTAATAGCTCGACATCTACTTGACACCGGACACACCATCGACATTCCACATGCTTCCAAAATTATCAATAGACAAAGAAGTACGACCACTCTCCGTTTTGCTGAAGCCATTATGATCAAAAACTTAAACCGGACTTATGCATTCAAAAAGAGACTTTAATAAACTTATCACTACCCTGGTAACCCTTTTTTTTCATTCATTTTAAAATATTTATACTCCTCCCCTATTACATAATTCTTTAACCACATTATTATTCATACATTTCTACCACCTGATCCTCTTAAATTATCTTAACTTTTCAAATTCTATTTCATTATTATTGCGTAACCTATCTTATGATTATTCAATTCCATTATTACACCACCCAACCCGAATTAATTCCTTTTTGACCTCTGACTTGTTCTAGCATATATATATATATATATATATATATATATATATATATATATATATATAGTTATTACTAGTATGGGGGTTGTGGAGATTATTACGTTTTTGATTGAGATCATGAACCGATTGATGTTAGACCACCATCTTTGGAAACCTGGAAGCACTGAACGACCGTTTCGTCCTATTGTGGGACTCCTCAGCAGTGCGCACCCACGATCCCGCTCGCAGGATTCGAACCCAGGGCCTTCGGTCTCGCGCGCGAACGCTTAACCAACTGGACCACTGAGCCGCCATCCAATGGTGATAGTGTCTAACATCAACCAATCCACGAAATTGCGCGACCAACTTCCATAGTACTGAGGTTGATACCTGTCTCTACCCGACATGGATTAACTTTACTGATCACGGCTTCCCACTAGAACTCCGAGAATTCCCTCACGAAGCTAGTCACTAGTAAGCACAATAGGACGAAACGGCCGTTCAGTGCTTCCAGGTTTCCAAAGGTGGTGGTCTAACATCAATCGGTTCATGATCTCAATCAAAAATATATAGTTGTTATTGTAACCAGTTATTTACACTCATGTATGTCAATTTTTTCACTCTATCTCAATGTAAAAATTCCATCACATTTTTGGTTTGTAAGAAGCTGACGAGAAACCTCGAAATAATATGAATTCATACTATTCTGCACCAATATTTGTTATTGCTTTAGTTAAATTCATAAAGGGAACCAATTGCATGAATTTAATAACATTTAGCTGGATTTGTTTTGAAATGTTCCAGTTCTCGATTAAAATTTGCTCCCAAATCTGGAGATGCGATTGAAACAGTTTTTATAATTATAAATATTCAGCTTTCTATGTTTATCCCAATGTACCTGCTAGTCCTGTAGTTTTTCTATCTATGATTTGTCTACTTTAAAATAAACTGTTAAATGTTACATTTCAAATGAACGTTGACTAGTGTGAACCGAAACCATGATAGAAATAATAATAATAATAATAATATAATAATAATAATAATACACTGGATCGATAAACTTTACAATGTAACTGGTTATAAAAAATGTTAAAAGTCAAATCATTTTTATCCCATATAGACATAACACACATAGTTTCCGTTGTTATCTTGAAGTGAGCAAGAATAAACATTCGACCAGAATAACATAAATTCATTTGATTTCATTAGATTCTTACCATCTGCTTACATTTTATAATTTTTGAAATCATGCACATAAGTCAATATTATTTATATAAGTGTAGTTAGAAATGAGTTTAGTTCATCATAATGAAACAATGATTCATACACTGTGAGCAAGAATGCTTTTTTTAATTCTTCCCAATAAATACAATGTACAAGGGAAGATTCTAGAACGACAGAATACTGACTAAAGACTAGGAAGCTAGAAAATTACTTGATCACATAATGATACAGTTAGATTTATGATCATTTAGTATAATACGAATTGAGTGAGATCAATCAGTTAAAGGTGCAATTATAGATTTGAAAGAATTAAAAATAATCCCATCAAAATAAGATGAATTTGTGTTATTCTACTCAAATCTTCAAAATGCATAATCGCTAAAGAAAAATGTGACATTTCATCGATGTATATTATGTTAAACGGAATTGAATTTCCATATATACATACTAACTACTTTGCACATTGTTCTCTCTCTCTCTCTCTTCCTCTCTGTCTTTCATTTACTTGGTTGTTATTACTTTATCACTTTTCTGTTCACTATTATTTTGTTTCTCTAGTCTAAGTATAAATGTAGTTGTGGCTGTCGATATGTCAACTCATGCTTCAATGAATTCAATAACAAATACACCCAGTCAACAAATAGAATTATCTCAATCTCATACAGAATATGAAGTTGCTATACAAGCTGTAATGGAAATACTTCAAGAATATGACAGGTAAGATTATTCAAGAAAAATTATTATTATTATTATTATTATTATTATTATTATTATTATTATTGTATCCCATTTTTGTCTTATTTATTGTGTTATAAAATAAACTGGAATTGAAGCATGGTTTTACAATGTTAAAGATAGTTTATTTGCTAAACATTTTTATCAATCGACAAATAATTTAAATTCTATTACCTAGTTTCTTTCCTCTTCTAAACTTATTTAGTAATAAGATGTCTTATTTCACTATCCCGGATTAAACAGAAACATGTAAGCCAAGAATTAGTACACTGTTATTCGGTACAGTACTGATAGTTTCATTCACAACTATTATGCTATTGCTTGTCATATACTTTCAGGGGACTTAGTTCTTGTAGAATGTAACTCTCTAGGGATAAAATCTTAGTAGAATTTCTTGAAGACATTTATTAAAGAACATTAATGTTTAACAATGCAATACTCTTAAATCTTGATCGATTCGTTTTAAAATACAGTTAGTATAAAGTATAGTTTTCAATAAATACCTTAACTGATATCAAGAACCTACATCAATAGTTTAGTGTTTGGATGAACTTCAGCATTATTTACTTCTAGAAAGTCATCTATTAATTCTTAGTGGAAGAGAATAAATTCAATACTAAACAAAATAAAAGTTAACTAGAATCTATATTAATGTAGTCACAAAGACAATGAATTATTATCAGAAGGGGTTATGTGGAAATTTCAGAAATTTCAATCGTTGAAATCATCAGTCAATTGAAGCTAAACCACCATGGGAAACCTGGAAGCACTGGACAGTCGTTTCATTCTAGTATGGGACTTCTCAGCACTGCTCATCCACGATCCCGCATCACAGGATTCGAACCCAAAACTTATCAGTTTCGCGAGCGAGACTCCGTTAACTAAACTGTAATATCATGTAAACTTAAAATCATCCATTAATAACTTAAAATGAATCACTTATGCAAGAAAAATAACTACGACAAGTGTTAAAAACATCATTGTATTAAGTAGTTATTGATAAGTTGTAACTAAAATAATCATAATACTTTCAAATGAATCTTGTGTAATTCCAAGCTAATATACATAGTAGAAGTTTGCGTTGATGATGTCATTCAAATGGACTATGAAATCTCCTTGACCAAACCTTCCAACCCAGAGAATAAAACTCCATCATAATTTACATAGTCAATATGATAAAAATTAAATAGTCACTTTTTACTGATACATAAAAGATCACTTAATAAAATACTTTATAAATGTAGATAAAATTATAATCCTTTGAATGGTTTCCTTTCAAATTCAATCACAATGAAAATATGCTTTTTTAATGAGAATTCATTTGTACTAATAATATTTGTTAGATTACTGAGATTTAGATTTCTTCTTTTGCCATTGAATAAGAAGACTTCGTGTACTCATCCCTGAAAAAAATATGTACACCTATCGAAATAAAATATGCTCTAAATAATCAGCTAAAGAATTGGTACTTGGTGCCAGTAAATGTAGTTCGTAAAACACATAAAAAATGGTAATACCAACTGGTGAAGATTTGTTACACACTAAAAATAGAATAATGATAATAGTGTTTAAATGCACTAATAATGATGAAATTAAACGAAGACAACATGTGACATGAATGAATCAATGATCAAAATCTACCATAAACTTCAACAACTGACAATTATGAGTAATTTATTAAGTTATTTGTTTACTTGTTAAAATTAGATTAAATATCGTAGATCATTGAAGAAGAATTGAATTTTACAGTACAGTAGTACTCCAATCGATCAAGACATTCCAATATTCATGTTAAGAATTAGGTTGAAAAGATTCATATATATAATAGTAAATACATCAGTCAACTAAAGATAGACCACCATGAAAACCTGGAAGCACTGGAGAGCCACTTCATCTTAGTATGGGACTGCTCAGCAGTGCTCATCCACGATCCTGCCCAGTGCTTCTAGATTTTTCATGGTGGTTTAGCTTCAAATGACCCATGAATTCGACTATTAAATTACTACAATCTACACAAAACCCCCCTCTGAATATATATATATATATATATATATATATATATATATCATGTTTACGTTACATTTTCTGATAAATGCTTTGTTTTCTTTTACAAAAAAAATAACTATATCAAAAGTGATCAACTATTTCCTGCTTTTGGATTCGGTGCAAAGGTTTCATCAGGTGGTAAATTATCTCATAGATATCCATTAGTGAGTTTTATAAACACATTTTTTAATCCTTCAATCATACTATTTTGTTAAAAATAATAAGTTAATTAATCACAATGACTTCATATTTAGTACAAACACGTATGAACAATGTAGTGATGGTTAATGTTGAATAATTCATGAACACTAAAATTTATAATTGAAATTAATAGTTTCTAAGATTGTTAGAATTCATTTAGAATTAATTACATATTATATGGAGAGAACAAACCAGCTTCCAGATGAAAAAAAACTAGGAAAAGACGATGGAAATGGATTGGATACATATTACGGAAATCATCAATCTGCATCACGAGACAAGCCCTAACTTGGAATCCTGAAGGAAAGTGGAAAAGTGTAAGGTCAAAGAACACATTACATCGGGAAATGGAATCAGATATGAAAAGGATGAATAACAACTGGAAAGAGCTGGAAAGGATTGCTTGGGATAGGGTTGAATGGAGAGTGTTGGTGAGCGGCCTATGCACCTTCACGAGGAGTAGCAGGCGTAAGCAAGTAAATAAGCAACATATGGTATATAAATTAGTAGAATTATACCTACTTACTTACACCTGTTACCCCTCATGGAGGAGTATAGGCCACTCACTGGCATTCTTCATCCAACTCTGTTCTGGGTGATCCTTTCTAGTTGTTTCCATTTGCTATTCATCCTTTTGTGTCTGCTTCCAATTACTAGCGTAGTATGTTATTCGGTCTTCTTCTCTTCCATTTCCCTTCAGAATTCCAAGTTAGCATTTGTTTTGTAATGCAGTTTGATGATTTTCTCAATGTGTTTCCTATCAACTTCCACCCTCTTTTCCTAATTTCCTCCTCAACTGAAAGTTGTTTTTTTCTCTCCCATAGTATGCTGTTGCTTATGGTATCAGTATGATTATAGTATATATTAATGAATTTTATAGTTTACGTCACAAAATGGTCTGAATCAGGCAAACAGGGAAAAGCAACAATCACTGAACAGTTATTTCGTTCTAATTTGGGATTTTTCGCCAGAGTGTATTCAAGACCTTATCGGCTATCAAGCTTATAACCTTCAGGTTTAAAGGTGAAGTATTAACCTTTAAACCACTCGGTAGGGATCATATGGTTTACATTTCTGGCTTCACTTATTTTGCAATATTGTACAGCAATCATTCGATGCCACTGGTGGGTAACTGCCTCAAGATATTTGGACTACACTTCTCACGGTGACTCCTCGATATAACGGATAGTTTAATTTATTTTCTCCTTTCAGATATACTACGATAATACGTTCATACTATAATAAGGCTACTCATGTTTTCTGATTCAAATGGAGAGCCTGAGTATAGACTAGATAATACTTTATTCGACACAATTACAAATACAGTGAGTTCGGAGTAGAAATCAGTGAGAGGAAAGGAAAGCACATATTTAGTAGTCAGTAGGCTATGTCTGTTCGTCCACGCTCAATAGTCGATCATATTTTACCTCCACCACCACACATCACTCATATTTCAAGCTTAAGAACTTGAGGCTCACTCTCCAATGAGGTCGTGGATGAACATCAGCGGGTAGCCCATACGACGACGAGACAACTGTTCCTTAATTTCTGATTCTCATTGATTATCTAACTAAGATCTGTCCTTGATCCAAACTACAAGACTCACAAAGTGTTGAGAGATTATTTATAATAATCCATGGTTCGTTAATAATAGTATTCCCAATCGACTCATTCGTATATATATATTAAGGGTAATAAAATGTCTCAAATCTCCACGGTTTTAAAACCTCTAAGTAAAAGGGATGATAGTGATAAAGATAGAATTTCCTTCCAAATTTTATTTTCGAAAACCCTTTGGGAAAATGAAAGTTGCAATTTTTCATTGCCATCGTAGCTTTTTATTATTTGTTGGTGTTTTTGTGACGATGGTGCTTACTGCTGCACGCCATACATTATTGCACTTAAAATACCGAAGTTTTTTTATCAATTTCCGATAAACGTCCATGCTAAATTATGTGCACAAATCATACTTGTCATTACAAACTAAATCACGGACAGTACTCATTACAGCTTTTATAATCACTATTGACAAATCTCTTCATGATTAGCGTATTAAGACTATTATTGTCATTTATTTGTTTATTTAGACTTATTATATTTTTTAGAAGGAATTAAAATGTAGGATAGTTTTCCTGGATAAATTTAACACCAGACTCCATGATCATCATATTCTTTGAGATTATAAAACAAATAAATTTACGTTTAATATAGATTTTTGAGATCATTGAATTTTTATAATTTATATTACAGAATGATATTACTCATACAACTGTTGAAAACCGAGAAGCCTTACGAAGCTGTTTCTTTCTAGTGTGGGACTCTACAGTAGTACCTACACCGATTCACGAGAATCGAATCAAAGGCCCTCGGTCTTATGGAGAGCACCTAACCAATTTCACAAATTCATTGTATCTTAAAATCGTGAATTATTGTATTCCAACTTGATGGGAAAACAATGTCACAACCACTGTAGCTCTGAGCGTAATTTTGTTTAAAGTCATGAATGTAGACTGAAATTTAGTCTCCAACCGTAGTGACTTCCTGACGTTTTTAGTGAGTTGTGAAATAGGAACATAATCAAGTTGACACAATGTAGTTACTCACTGATAGAATCTATTAAACATAGCATTATCCCGTGGTGTGGATCACTGAATTTTAACTTAGCAACTTAGCAACCCTATACTTCTTGTTTTTAATGGTTTCTTAGCTGTTCCCAACCAGAGATGACCAGTTATCACAACTTATGTAAATATTCACTCATTTACTACAGAGTATGCTAACAAATTCTGCAAAATATTATATTATATACGAATAAAAGTAACCAAAATTGACAGACTAGAGGAGTCCAGCTAAGTCATGCCCAAAGTTGCATTGTAGTGAACAAGAACAATCGAATGTATGTGAACCCAACATTACAGAACATCTCACTAAAATCTGACAACCATACAGTAAATAGTTAATTTTCAAAATATCAATCAATTGTCTCAAACTTAACTGTTCCTTTTGCAAATATCAGTCCATCGTCTCAGATTTCACTGTTCGTGCATTTTCATACCAATTGCTTTCCGTTCCCGTTCTTGCGTCTCGATATTCTACCGAAATGCATTCTATTCCTGACTATAGTTATATTCCACTTATGTGGATATAAGTAGCTCACACTATACATGAGATAGCCCTAGACCAAATGGTACGTAAGAAATAAAAGACGGTACATTATTTAGGTCAAAGCCCACCAGGATTCTCCATCCAACCCTGTCCCAAGCAATCCTTTCCAGCTCTTTCCAGTTGTTATTCATCCTTTTCATATCTGATTCCATTCCCGATGTAATGTGTTCTTTGACCTTACACTTTTCCACTTTCCTTCAGGATTCCAAGTTAGGGCTTGTCTCGTGATGCAGTTGATGATTTCCGTAATATGTATCCAATCCATTTCCATCGTCTTTTCTAATTTTTTTTCATCTGGAAGCTGGTTTGTTCTCTCCAACAGTGACTGTCGCTGATGGCATTCGGCCAATAAATGTTGAGTATTTTACGAACACAACGATTGATAAATACTTATAAACTATATCAATACTTTATTACAATATATTAAAATTAAATAGATTATTTAAATCAAGAAAAAACTTAAATAGAAAACTTGATAAATATAAATGAAATGTATTTCAATTGATATGATAATGTGTTAAGTACTTAGTTCTTAATAACTAAGTTCATAGATTGATGAATTGAAGTGGATCACTTTTTTTTTTACTTTTTATACTTGAAAACGTGATTTAATATTGAATAAATAAATATCTAGATAAATGACAAACCCCTTCTTCTTTTTTTTTTTTAAGAATAAAAAGGTAAATGGATTTAATGATATACAATTTGATTGAGTAAACTTATCACTGTATGATCAATTGAGCACGCATAGATCGTTTATATATTCAAATATGATTATGTAATACAATGTTCTAAATCTTTACTTTTTTTCAATATTTATTTATTTATTTAATAGAATGGGGATGTAAACAATTGTTATTGTAAAGGTATGGCAGGAGTACTTTCAGCTTATAGGCGTTGTTTAACTGATTTATATTCATCTGGTCCAATATTATTTGCACCAATCATTCGAGAAGTTAGCGAGTAAGTGAGAATCATTATTTTAAATCATTTCAAAGAAATAAATAAATATTTTTTTTGTTTTGGTATAGTTGAATGTAACACTGATAAATAAAATATCTGTGATGCGTGCTACGGATGTTAACATCATATAAGTAGTATGTATCATCAATCGAAAGTGAACCTAAGAAAAGAGAACGAGAACAGAGAATGATTGGTGTGGAAACTAAAAATATTGAAGTCTGAGACGATTGATTGATATTTACAAATGAAGTATTTACTGTATGGTTCTTAGATTTTACTAAGTTATTATGTAATTGTGTATTTAACTACATTCGATTGTCTCCACTGGTGTTCTCGTTCACTACATATCCAGCTTATAAATCATATATCTTGTTATGATTGAAAACTATATGTCAACACTGGATAGTTAAATTTAATTTCCAGTATAGGGTTGTGGAGATTATTAAGTTTCTGATTGACATAATGAACCGATTGATGCTAGACAACCATTGAAAACCTGGAAACACTGAACGGCCGATTCGTTCTATTATGCAACTTCTTAGCAGTGCGCATTCACGATTCCGCCCACAGGATTCGAATCCAGGATATTCAGTCTCGTGTGCGAATGTTTAACCTCTAGACCACTGAGCCAGTGTTAATGTTTCACTTCAATCAGTTCATGACCTGAATCAAAAACTTAATAACCTTGTTGGGGGCGATATATCCAAAAACTCAGAGTTTGTAATTTTATCTTTGTGGAGCTTGTATGCAGATGTATGCGTGAGCATTCCTTACCACCCACGCACATAGTCGATTGATGAACTTATCGATTAAATGTTTAAAAGCTCCATGGAATATCGATATATATATATATATATTACATTGTGTTTGTAGACTCGCTCGTTTTCTGGCTGTTTGCAGAATATATTTTCCATACCAAGCTTGCACTTCTCCTTCTAGATAGCGGGACTGGAACGCATCAATAGCTAGATTACTGGTCTTTGGTCACTGAGTCTTGTTCTCGTTCGCAGATTAAGTGAACTTGTGAAGCTCCAAACCTAACAAACCTCCGCAACCATATACCAATAGTTACCATGTACTCACTAGTGACTAGCTTTCTGAGGGAATTCTCGGAGTTCTACCTCAGTACAACGGAAGATGGTCGCTCGCTTTCGTGAATTGGTTGTGGCTAGACATTGACACCACTGGATGCCGGCCATCTCAGTGGTATAGAGTCTAAGCGTTCTCGCGCGAAACTGAAGGCCCTGGGTTCGAAATCCCGTGAGCGGGATTATATGTGCTCTCTGCTGAGAAGCCTAACAATAGGACGAATCGGTTTCCCAGTGCTTCCAGGTTTTCATTGGTTGTCCAACATCCATCAGCTCATGATCTCAATCAAAAAAATCTAATTTTCATAGTTATTAAACAAATCTTACATGTATACATTTTGCCTAATAGTTTTTCAATAATTTTCGCACTGATAGTTTACCCCCATTTTAACAAACAATTCTCTAGGGTAATAAATTGGATTTTAGTACAAACGTTTAGAATTTCTAATCATGATACTTCAAATCAATAAACAGATAGGCAACGAAAGAAAGAGAGGAAACAAGTTAATCAGACAAATAATATATGTTTCCATTCTAGATACCAGAACTTGTCAAATAAATTTTGCAAATAAGCCAAGCTGTTGTGCAAAGATTTATGATTCGAGAATTATGTAATAAAAATATAAGACTGAGGTGCATAACAACTTTATAAATTGTTGCAGTCATATAATTATGTATTGTGACATTTCTGATATAAACCTGAGTAATAAATTCCTATTCTTAGCGTAAAGAGCTTTCAGAGAATGCTGAGTGCCATAAATGACATTACAAACTAACAATCATTCAAGATCAGAGAACACTGAATAACTGCTTCATCTTAGTATGGGACTCTTCAGCAAGGTCCACCTATCACCTCACATGAGGCCGAACTCAGGACCTTCGGACTTCATAGCAAGCGCCTTACTTTCAAATCAGTGAATTACATTTCCGACTCCGATCAGTTTATTCCACTAAACACCCAACGTTCATCACTATTGTTGCGTAACTGTCTCACACCTGTAAACGTGATTGAATTCCACTATTCACAGTTACTCACTAGAACTTCTGGTATTACCTTTTAGAATTTCATAAATTGTTCATTTTGCCAAACAATTTTTAGAAATATGCAAATCAAAGAATACTTACCGGATTAGAAATATTTCCTGCTTTGATCTCTTTCCTAACATAAGTGGAAAGAGAATTTAGAAAAAGCGAATATAAATCCGGTCCAAAATTTATCATTTATAATAAAATAATTAAAATGAACACATTCAAACAAGCCTTGATCGATTTTAAAATTACATATAAATACTAACATATACTTTTGCATACATAGTTAACTGAAGACTAGTATTTTTTTTTAAACATAACCAAAATGAACAGTTCATAATGATGAAATGTTATATATATCGTCTACCGATAATCTTATTCTACTTGTGCTTCAATTAGAATAATCGTCTGGACTTGAACACTGTTAGTTATACATATGAAGTATGTTTCAGACAATGTAGAGATAAATAGATAGATAGATAGATAGATAGATAGATAGATAGATAGATAGATAGATAGATAGGATATAAAAAATCATAATTTCTCTAACCATATAATTGTTTTAATCTAAAACGTTACATTTTAAAATTGTCAACTCAATAGTTCTATATAATCAAGAAATGTAAAAGAAAAAAAGCACATTACCATTGAAATTATCTACCATAGTTTCAAAAATACTATTTTATCCAATGTGCCAAATTGAATATACAAGAAATATATGATACATTAAAGTAACAAATAAATAAATAAAAATCATTTCCAATAAATGAGGTTTAGTTGAATAATATAAAATCATTTATGGAAAAAAACTATATTATTATAAACATTGACAATTAACTTTGTCATTACCAATGTTGTATTATGTAATTTTTGATGGTAACCATTAGGTTAATGCTCAAAGTGATAAAAACATTTTTCGGTGAGACTATCATTTATGGACGACCTTTGAGAGACTCTACTTACTAGGGTTAGATGAAGGTTATAAGGCAGTTTGAAGAATATGGATTATGATTTACAGTTGATGGTTAAGATTAGGAATTAGATTTAGGGTTTTCATCATGAACTGACATCAGCTATAATGATAAAACTCTATTTAACCAAATGGATGGGTGAATTTCGCACCAAAATCCGAAACCTGTTATCGTAAATCTGATTGATTCGTCTATAAATTATAGTCTCACCCATTTTTCTTACCTCTAGTTAATTAAAAATGACAACTCTTAGATTGAATTTCTCATGGTAAGAAATTATAACTTCAATACTATTATGATTGATACCAGTTTAAATTGTACAAACAATATCATTTTCTTAAGAAAAAATGTCTAAAAATACGAACTAATAGCAAAATGTTAATTAACTAGTAATATTTCGATTCAAACTACTAAATATACAAACAATAAAAATAATAAATAATAATAATTACCATGTGTTCACTAGTGACTAGCTTCGTGAGGGAATTCTTGAAGTTCTAGTGAGAAGCCATGACCAGTGGAGCTAATCTGTGTCGCGTAGAGACAGGTATCTACCTCAGTACAGTAGAAGATGGTCGTTCAATTTCGTGAATTGGTTGCGGTTAGTGATATGATGGGAAGAAAAGTCAATTTTCGATTGATTTACTCATTATGAGTTTTATTCAACATTACTTCCGTTTTGATTCAATGTAATGATTACACAATGTAGTATTTGTTTTGTTTTCTCCTATGATAATTTATTCTGTATAATATACGATATTCTTGTATTCAATCGACATGAACTATGCTCAGTATGTGATTTGTTATAACTCTAAGTATTTTCTCATATATGTGATTTCATCCTAATTATTAATCAAAATGAGTGTACAATCAATATATAAATGAGTGTATTTTCGACTAGCTCTCGCCGACGTGGATTTGCTGAGATCCCTTGTTCCGAGTATAAGTGATAAGCGTTTCCGGCACAATAACCAGCGACGACCAGTTATAACAAGTAGCGTTCAAACAACAAGACATATCAGTTGGACATTAACACCTTTGGATGCCAGCTCAGTGATTTAAAGGTTAAGCGTTCACATACAAGACTGAATATCCTGGGTTCGAGTCCCGTGAGTAGAAATGTGAATGGGCATTGCTGAGAAGTTCCATAATAGGACGAATCGGCCGTTCAGTGTTTCCGGGTTTTCAATGGTTTTTTTAACATCAATCTGTTCATGATGTCAATCAGAAACTTAATAATCTCCACAACCCTATACTGATAAATAATTTTACTCTTTCATTATATATTATATCATAATTATTAATCATTTTTTATTTTAAAGAGCAGCTAAACGAAGTGAAGCAGCTGATAACTATTATGTTCTATTAATATTAACTAATGGTACTGTAGATGATTGGATTGAAACTAAAAAATCTGTAATTGAAGTAAGTATGATTTATGCAATTAGTTACTTTTATGAATTTAAATAAAACCAGAATGAACATAAATGCAGAATAATATGAATTCATTATATTTCGTGATTTCTCTCATCAGTTGTTTACAATTTTACATTAAGGTAAGATATAATGTAGAACATTTGACAGAAGTGAATGTGAAGAATTAGAATGACAAAGGTTATCAATAATAATTATATATACATATGTATGTGTAAAAACAGGTCAGAGGTTATTTGGTATTAGAATCAAGAAAACATTAGGGATAGGTGATGTAATAATTGAGTGATAACCTATGTCATTCTAATACTCTACATTCACTTCTGTCAAATGTTCCACACTATAAACAGCTGATAAGAGAAACCATGAAATATAATGAATTCATAGTATTCTGCAATCATATTCGTTCTGGCTTTATTCAAGTCTGATTCCATTAAATATGAAAAATGAAAATAAAATTTAAAAATAATAAGTTATGGTGAAATTTTATAGATCAATTAATTTCGGGATCATTCAGTGTGTTTTTTTATTGTAACGATGAAAGAATTATTAAATATCAATTAGTTGCTTACAATTGATTGTGTATAATATCGAGAAAACTGTTTCTTTTTTATTGGTGTAATTGTTGAATTTTATGTTTACTTACGAGAGTAAGTGAAGTTAAAATGATGTAAACAAAGATCGAAATAGATTATTGATAGTTAGAAAATCCAAGAGACATGTTTCGTCTCAGTCCAACTCATCAGTCTGATTTACATGCATACCGGTGTTTTAGTGGCCCATTATCTGACTCCATTTAAATCATATTATGATCGTTATTGAAATATACATGTTACCAATCCTCGCATTTAATTATCGACTTAACTCGCGTTAGTGAATGATGAAATTAAATAAGTCAAATAGATGGATGAAGTTTCAATGCGTATATTTCATAAGATCACTGATCTGAACAGGGAGACGGAGTGGAGAAAGCAAGGAGGATAAAGCGAAGTGAAACAATCTGAAGAAGGTATGTTAACCAACTCGATTTAATCAAGAGCGAACCAATATTTATGGCCAGACCAAAATAAGTTACAAACATTTGATCAATAGGGTAAGCGATACACGCACACACGATCATACAAAAACAGTCAGAATTAATAAGCGAATAAATGACAAGGTCAAAATATAGCTTGAGAAGAATGAATAAACTGGTCTGTTCAGAAGCTATAATAACCTATATAGACTTGACATAGTGCCAGTCACTACTGTGTCAACGTTCACATTTCTACTGGAATCCAGTATCTTTCGCACCAAAAACTATCTCACAAACCTACCTGATGAATATCAAATAGGATAAAACACTATATTAGATCCTACTCCTAACTAAAAATTTTCTATTTTATAAAACTTCTAACACATTAGTTTGAGCAAGACAATCCACATAGAATGTATGGATTTTAATAATGACCGATCAAATTCTATTCTAAATATTAACAGTGGGATCATTCAAACCTGTACTTATAATGATCTAAACTCCAATCATATATGATCGTTATTGTTTATTATGCTGCGCCGATTTTCTAAGTATAATTACATTCAACGCAGCTTGCACTTGCTATCCCATGTGGTTGTACCATATATTAAAAGTATATTTGAAAGCTGAATCAGATGTATTTGTTTTCGTGAAAATACATGCAAATTTTATAACAGAACTATGTGAAAAACTGGAATTTATAACTTAATTAATTAGATAACTGATCACAATATAGAAACACAACTATTGCTGTGCAAATGTAAAAAAAAAGATTGAGCAAACTTTCTTAGATGTATTTATAAATAAGTCAAAGACAAGATGGATTGATAAAAACGCTCTATCTACAAAACGTCTATTCATAGATAAGGCAATATCTTAACTTCTGTAGTCCTTTTTCAGTTCCATATGAAAGATTGTTAATAAGTAGTCAATTAACTAGACTCGACTGGATATACACAAAACGATACAACAGAAGAAAACGTAAAACTATTAAAAGAATCACTAACAGAATGAAGGACTGACATAATTCATATAACTCTAAAAAAAATCATTTTATAATGTAGCCTATTACGCTATTAGTACTTATCATATATCTACTTCATCCTTCTAGTCATTGATAAGTTTTATCATTTACTTATTGACTATTATATGAATTTCAATAGTTGAGGTCATGAGTCAATTGAAGCTAGATCACCATGGAAAACCTGGAAGCGCTGTACGGCCGTTTCGTCCTATTCTAAGACCTCTCAGCAGTGCGCATCCACGATCCCGCACCCCGCGAGATTCGAGCCCAGGACCTATCAGTATAGCTTCAATTGACTCATATTATCAACTGTTTAAATCACTACAATCTCCACAAAACCCCCTCTGATAGTATTGTATGAATTGTTTAAATTAAATCCATTATGTAACAAAAACATTCTTTCTAGAAAGTATTAAATGTGTACACAGATATACTACAGGCTTATAATGTTGTAAAACATTATCATGTATGATATTTAAATGAAACCGGTAAAATTCGACAATTTTCCCCCTCCTCTATTGAAATTTTTATTGACTATGAATTATTCAAGTTAGATTTTCACTTAGATACTTTATATATAATGTTTGTTTTTTGTTTTTTTAATTGTGAATGTAGACTTCATTTCTTCCCATATCTATCATTGTACTCGGTGTTGGTGGTGGAAAATTTTCAGGTAAATTTAATATATTACTTTTTTTAAAGTAATAAACAGTAGTAAATAATTGAAGAAAATCTTTCTATTAATCCTTCTTGATAATTAGTAAAACTTTCACCTGGTTCTTAAGGGAAAAGAATCTAATTTTTACAATTTAAATTTACAGATTGATTCTAACTATAGAATGAATAATTAGTTAGAATGTCAATTTGTTATGATGTAGCTTATCTCTGGTGAATGGTAAATGATCTACAGATTTCAGTAGTTCTTTAACTGTTATCAAACAGTAATGAAAATATCTTGAAAAGTGGATAATCTCTACGTTTAATAATAAAATACATAAAATTTTAGGTATGTATTTCAGAGTTCATTTCTCTTCAGAATTTCTCAGTAGTGATAAAAGATTGATAACGATTTTATATTTACGATCGTGAAGATGATTTCAACTTGAATAATATCTTTCTTCCACAATCGTTGTAAACTCTTACAATATACTTGCTGTATCAGTATACTCATGATAACAAATACTCTTTGTTGACGAGTACTAAACGGAGCGAGATTTCAACTATCTGCCTTTAACCATCTAAAATATTTTTTATCTTAATAAAATACTATGCTATACCATCTACAAACAAAATTGGTTACTTATAAGGATTGATACAGCTCGATGTAAGGAAGAAGGCACAATTGTAGATGAAGGGTTCCTTACTCAATAACTACAAATCCTCAATTGATCAAAAGCTACAATGAGATTGAGGTCATTTAATTATCTTGTTAACAGATAGATTTGGAAATATTTAGGTAGGTAGGTGATATGAGTAAGATTTAAAACGTCAATAAATTTAACTGCACTAACAATATAAGGAATTACGACGAGACTATTATTCATGGACGAACCAATCAGATATAAGATTACAGGCCTCGGATTTTGGTGCGAAATCCACCCATCCATTTGGCTAAATATAGTTTTGGCATTATGAAAACCCTAAATCTGATTTTTAACCCTAACCAGCAACTGTAATGCATAATTCCGATTCCTCACACTGGTTTATAACCCTCATTTGTCCTAGTTATTAGGTGTACACTCTCAAGGTCACTTAAGCATCTCTCAAAGGTCGTCCATAAATTATAGTCTCACCAAAAATTCTTAAAACCATATGCTCAACAGTTTTCCTCAGAACGATTAAAATGTCTCAAACTTCTTTTTTTTAATGTGAACACCACAATTTTGATCATGCGCTTAAAATCTATAGTAATGAAGATACTCAAACCAATAGTGATTTTCATTGCCAATAATGTTGATATTCTCAATTTTGAGAATCCACCATTTACTTTGTATTAAACTCACATCATTATCATCATACCACATGAATATGTTCATCAGCTTCAACAGAGTAAATAAAAATTTCCAATCTTCAATTTATATATTCTAACGAAACAATTGATTGGAAGAATACTAATACCAACTTATGAGAGATTATTATTTTACTGAAGTATCTACATGGATTCTCTCAACATTATAATGAGTAGAAATGTCATCAGAAAACCTAACTAACCGGCTCATTATATATATATATATATATATATATATATATATATATAAAGTGGAACTTTTGTCTACGCAAACAAAAGACATATTCGACCAATGTATTTTATATGACAAACTAAAATGGACTCACTGATTCTCTTGAACTTCTTTATTCTTGATTAATCTTTCGTTTCTTTCTAATTGACGTCACTTTGATTAGATATTTTATTCATAAGTAAGTCTTAATTGACCAACTCATATTTAGACAACCATTCAGTTAAACTGTCTTTTGAAATCTGTTTGACTGATATTTGATTTTATAAGTTTGACCACTTAGATTTCATAATTATATTATGACTAAATATTACTTAGTAAATAATCAATAATAAAAATGAAGGTAACAACATTAAATCTAATGAAACTAGACATCTATCTGTTTCATCTTCATCATATTTACTATTATTCTACTGAAATTTTAATCTAAAAGGGGAATATCAACCTCCTCAGGATCGTAAGCATACCTTACAGACGAGTAATAACTAGTATGAAACCTAGGTGAGGAAAGAATTCCGGTCAACTATTGTTAACCAGTTAATACATACTGAACTATTTTTAAAAGTAACATTATAAATTAGATTTCTTTCTGCTTGAAATTTAGATTAAACATCAAAAGTAAATAATCAGTATGGTATTAATTAAACAATAACTTGAGTTAACACATTATAACATATAAGTTTGTAAAAAAAACAATCAATTCATATAAGATATCTCACTTACTAATTGTTATTTGAATTAGAAATGGAAATTTTGGATCAAGATTTTGGCTTACTGAAAGTTGGTCAAGAACAAGCTTGTAGAGATAATGTACAAGTAAGATTTCATTAAATAATATACATTAATTTATATGAATTTCAAATGACATATCATTCAATCACTCTCAAAATGAAAATTACATTTTTCAAAGACCATTCAATACTATTATCAATGAATAAATAATCAGTGATAATGAATGAGGAGTCCCATACTAGAATGAAACAGCGGTCCATTACTTCCAAGTTTTCTATAATAGTCTAGTTTCAATGAACTCGTGAATTCAGCTATTAAATGACTACAATCTCTAGTGATAATGGATGTGTTTAGAAAATTTAATCAAAATATTTATATTACAAACTAATTGACATCACTTTAAAGAAAATTTATCTGAAGCAAAACTAGATGAATTAGTAATACGAATCAATGAGTAATGAATAGAAATCAATCTAAAAACAGATCATTTATTAATAGTCTCAATAGTATATACACTTGATTTCACATGTGATCGAACACAGGATCTTACTATGTGACCTGAAAATCCTATATCTGAAGTCATAAGTATTTATTACTGTGATGTCGTAAACAGAGATATGAAAGCTGTTTAGTTCATCTTTTCATTGACTCTTCAGACGATGTCACTTTGTGGTGAAAAACATCTTTAAATCTAACAAATTACTATAAATCATCTAAGTAATTAATCAGTAATTCAATTTGAAAATTGAAATTAACACCGATAGGAATTCAAAACCAAAGTAGGAAATAACGTTAAATAGTTATAATCGATAATACAAGTCATTTCCATCATTTACACTTGTTGAATTTCCTTATAATAAGTTGATAATAGAGTGAGTACTCTGTGACATTTAAACCATTGGTTCAACTTTGAAGTCGGAAGAAAATAACTCCTATCAACTAAATAAGACTTTTATCCAAATAAAGTTCTGACAGTAACCAGCAGAGAAATCCAAAAAGCATGTTTTGTTCCATTCGAGATTCATCATCGGGATTCGTGTACAAGATAGCATAGATGTTCACTTCAAAACTCTGGTCCAATATCTTTCCTTTCAAACATCCAAAGAGTCATCTACTTAGATACTGATTCCAGATAAACACTCATCTCAGTAATTTATATCTCATACTATTCTTTTTTTAGTTGATCCAATGAAAACTAACATTTTTTCATTCATTAGATAATTAAAATGGGGTGGATGATTAAAGTGGGTTTGTTCAGGGTTTTCTTTTTGTATCCTCTAGTTGCTAAGCTTTTTTTAAAAAAATCATACAAATGAGGAAAGATTAAAACTGAATTGAAAGAATCAAGTCTGTGATTAAATTTATGTATTGATTTACTCTTCTCTTTATCTGATACATATTATTTTATTATTATTAAAATAGTTTGTACAAATGCGACGATTTTTACGATTAGCGGCTGACGGATCAGATAGTATTCGTTGGAGTAAAGTAGCATTAGCTAAAGAGGTATTAGCTGAATTACCTTCACAAGTAAGTTGTTTAAATATTCTTGTCTTTTATATGTAATATGCATTAAATGATTTAAAAAGTAAAACAAGGATTATATTTATTTTGTAGTTTTTCATTATTGATGCTTAAGAGTGTGATTAATCAATCTCTAGTAGCATAAACTTATTTTGAATAGGTTGTTTTGATTTAGCGTTAAGTTATAGATTTATCACATTTAGCATATGGCTAACATTGGAATTCCGGATGACAGTTTTGTTCCGTATGATATTCATCGGATAAATGTACGTGTATTGTGGTATTGATGTTTACATCGAGACTTGAACCCAGTACCGTTCACTTTATACATCTAACACACTATCGACTGAGATACTAAGTCAAGATGGTCACTAACTTATTGAAAGGAAGGAAGTTTTATTTATGAATTTAAGCTACCTCATGAGCATATGTGCATTCTGTAAAAAAAAATGCCTCTATATAGCTATTTTGTCAGAAATAACTGATTGAAAGCCATACAAACAATAACTCAGGGTCATAACAATTACCTTACTGATTTGAATAAATGCATAAAGAAATTGTTTGTTCCGTAATAGAGCTCTGGTATCTATGGCATTGAATAGTCTGACAAACAAGCTTAAAATAAGCGATACTAAACTACATTATGTTAACCCATATCATTTAATTTGAATATATTTCAATAAATATTTACAAATGATAAGTAATTACATGTTCTGGCATACTTTACAAATAAAACAAGTTATCGTAAGGAATTTTTTTCATAACAAAGCAACATGATAGATGACAATTGACTGAACAACAGTCAAATTATTTAAGTGTTTTTATAGTAGGCGGTTGTCTGAGTCTGTTATTAATATACAAACTCCCTATACAAAAAACTCAACCACCTATTTCAGTGAAGAAATCAAGAGAGGTTAGTAAGAATTTATTCATCAAAAGTGAATGGAGAACATATATAGAACTCGGTTATGAATATATATCTATATCCTACAGAAAATTAAGCTACATTTTCAAACAATAACGTGTGTTTCTCTCCTTGGAGAGTGAATCTAAGTTTTTGGTCGATTGTGTGCGTCTGTCATTTGATGTGTGTCTTCTTGGTCAATTATGCGTTCTCCTAAATATTATACTACAAGGTTTGGCTTCAAATAACAAAAGAATGTTACTCCGATTATACAAAATAATGTATAATGACTCCAAATTTGACCGTCTAACTATCAGTAACTTTTTATTGTTTCTGTTGTTTGAACAACTTATGAAGATAATATTCATCTCAAATCGATGTCGAACAAAGAATCATCGACAAATAGGGAGCATTTACTCAGCTATATAACAAACTCCACACAAGACTGAATATACAACTTTCAGATCTCATAGATAAAATATACGACTATCAGATCAATGAGTTAGAATAGAAAATTCGACGTACCTACCACAAACCTTGTGTAAGGGTGCATTGATAAAGGCCGGTCTTTTAAAGGTGATTACAAGGCGCCTAGTATAGTATTCTACAAGTCTTAATATTACATTATTGATAAACTTTCTCACAAAAAATAACATGTATTTAACAGTTGGTACCATTTTTGTCATGGACCACATAATAATTTTGATATACATCTTGAACTACTGAATTGATTATCAATAGGCAGAATTCAAAAGCTAAATATAAAAAGAAATGGGGTTAGAATCCATTTTAAATTGTTTGTGTAAAGGTTTGGTGCTTGCTTCTAGACTTCATAGTTCTGGGTTCAGTCTTTGATGAGGGTATAGGTGTGCATACTGAGGCGTCTAACTCTAGAATAAAACGGCCGTCTATTCCAACAATGTTTTGTGATTCATGCTGGTCAATAAAATCCGCTGTATTCAGACATCGTATGTATTTAGTGGTCACCGAATGAAATGCCAGTCCTCACTCTTAACATTGGTTTATCAGTCACGAAAGCCAGTTCCACAACTAATTCAAGTTAATTAGTGGTGTATACAAGATCTCATTACTTGGAATTACCCAATAAACAAAGGACTATTGTTTTGACCTAGTAGCTTCCAGAGTCAGTTCTTCACTTGAATACAAATGTATTGAATATATTAATCTGCGTAACGGGAACTTTCACGCCACATTTACACTAATTTTAACAGCTCTTGTACGATTTAACAGATAAATGGAATTTCCGGTTTGCACAGTAAAATTGGCTGACTGAAGCAATACAGAAAATAATATTAATATACAGTCATTTTACATTAGTAGATAACTGTTTGCTTGAAAATATTTAGAAATTGTGTTCTTAACAGTAATCAGCTACAACACGAATATGTAAAGTCTTAGCTATGTTCAACCATGTCGGAATTCACATAGTCACCCATCAATACCATTGACTGATGCCACGCGGTATAATGAACTGACTGAAACCGGAAATATAAACCACTATTTCCCAACTCAATGACTTAATAAAACTGTATACTTTGCGAGACCTATAGGTCTTGGATCCTGTCCTTATCGATGTGAAGGTTGATATATGCTTCATAATCATTTTTCTAATAGCTTCGCATCTTTGATAAATACTTAGTTGATGTTGATTTGTGATGAACACCATCTTTGAAATAAAACCATATTTTAAGGTATATATTAAGTTGGACAACTATTGAAAACCAAGAAGCAAAGGATAGCTGTTTCATCCTAGGGTGTGACAAGTCAACAATTTTTATAAATTAAAAAATCACAGTTTGAACCTGGTTTCTTCAGACCTGTTCTTTAGTGAGTAACCTTTAGACTACTGAGTCGGCACTTAGTAATTTATATTTCTATATTGTACAAACGTCACCCAATGTTATTGATATACACATATATGATTTTTTTTAGATTTTAGAATATTTAGACAAAAATCATCTTAGTCCACAACATCTTGTACCTAGACAAGCAGAAAAACTTAGTGATTTAACAAATCCTGATTGGTGGCGACGATTTACTCAACCATTATGTGAAAATCAAATGAATCCAATAAGTAATTTATCTGAAGATGAAAATGATGCTTTTCAACGTTTACAATTAATGGATAAAAATAATCCATCAACAATATTATCAAATTCACCAATTAGTTCAACATCATCTGATCAATATTATTGTAAATCTGGTCAAATATTTAATTTATCTGATAATAATGATAATAATAATTCTACATTAAATGAAATGAAAAGTTATTCTATGAATCAATCATCCCCTAAAAAATCTATTATACCATTGTATCGTCAAATGTCATTAGGTACAACAAAATTAACAGAGAATTATCCAATTAAAACACGTTTTCGACGTTTACCAAGTGGTGCAGATACTAATCGAATTTCATCAGCTCGATCAAATATTAATAATACTACTGGTAATAGTTCAAAATAAACCTTTTTTTAAAAAAAAAAAAAAACAAAATTGCTTCTCTTAATTTAATAATAAATCAATAAAATCGATACATATAATGATGTAAAATGTAATTTCCTTCTCAAATATAATTTTTTTCTCTTTAATAAAACAAAAATGAAGATACTTAAAATAGAAATATGTTTGTTATTTTAAATGATTGATTGATTTATTGATTGATTGAGATGAATTTGTTTGTTTGTTTGTTTTCTTGTTTTTGTGAAGGAGAAATAAAAAAAAAACGTGAAAACAAACAATTTTATTCCTGTGTTATTTTAATTGAATATTGTAAATGTAAACCATATACAACCATACTACTATTAATAATAATAATAATAATCATAATAATAAATAAATAAACTTGAGAGATAGTGTTGTATGATAATGAACTTTTTAAAGTGCCTCATTGACATTTGTTTTGTTGTTTTCCTTTTGATAAGCTAACTCATTAGACACATAGAGATAATAGTAATTTGTTACTGATCAATGTGAAAGTAGATTAAGAAAAATTGAATAAAATTACAATGATTATGTGTTTTTTTTTCTTTTTGAATTTTACATACATATATAATAAATGATGAACACTTCTATTGACATATACATAATATAATGTGAATGTATTTTATATAAATTCATTGTTTCATTCAAATATGTCCATTAACAAGACAATTAATAAAGAATCCTTTGCATTGAATAGATAAGTTAAATGAATCTATGAATGAAATCTACAAGGATTTCTATTTCTCCATACTATAACTACTACTGCTACCCCTACGACTACCACTATTACTATCACTACGAATACTAGCACTACAACTACCAATAATACTAATGATACTAGTAATGATAATGATCGTGATGAAGAAGAGAGTTTACTCAAAATGACAAAATAAATAATCACCGGAAATGTAATCAAGTAATAATTAAACACTAGAAATAAATTAATTTTTTCATACTAACTCAATATGAGTGAAAAATATTCTTTTTCTTTTCTAACAAACATACAAAAACAATACAAACACTTGTTTCATTGTACAATGGTTAACAAGAGAGAGAGAGGGGGAAACAAAGAAGATTATCTTGTTTTGATTGTATTCAGTTATTTGAGTTGTTTGTTTTTTTTTTTTTGCACAACTCCTCGTGAAATTTTAAATATAAATATATAGATTGGTTCTATGTTTTGTAATTTTCACTTTTATTCTTTTCACTGATATATAAGAGTTTTGGCTTATGATTTCATCAATTTATCCCTTTATATTTTTGTTGCTTAAAATAAGCTAAATCTTTATATGAAGTAAGAATTCATTTCTTTTATTGTACAAAGATAGACAAACATTCCATAAATCATGTAAAAGAGACTGATTGTGATTAGTGTTGGATTGTAGGAGTTTTGTTTTATTCTAATTAATATTAGTTACCTCAGATTTAGAGAAGTGATTGTGGTTAGTCGACAGGGAAGTCTAAACTTAGGTTTTGTGTTATTTGATACTTGTCAATATGGTGTGCTTGAGATCCTAAGAAAACTGATGTTCCTAATGTTATTCACTAAGCCATGGAGTGAATTTGGTCATTAACTTGTTCATTGTACGTGGTGTTTTTGTCAATATCAGTAAGGATTTGAATCATTCCATGGTTGGTATTCAAAACTAAATTTTGATTCATTTTTGTTTTATAAGTCAATATGATGATCTAGTGAAGTTTGATTTTTTTTAATTTATGTGAAAAACTCATTAACACACTGTGGAGATGAAATGTTTCTTAGCTTTGTACTGTTAGTCAGAACAAATGTTTAACTGAATCCAATCTGATCACTATGAGATCTAGTTTCTCTGATTTCAGTACCAATGAACTAGAACCAAACAATATCAAAAACATGTTTTAAAACGGTCTAATTTATAGGTTGTACCAGTTACAAACTAATCTTAGATAAGGTATTGTTGAAAACTAGGCAGAGAAGACGGTCACTTGGTCCTAGTGTGCAACCTACCTACAACCTATAAACTGGACATAACTCCACACATATTTTTCAACTAGACTATAATAAACCGTTTACTAGAGATTTCTTCAAGTTTCTTCTGAAGGTTAAATAGGTGTCCGTGACTAATAGAGTTAAGTATCTCGGAAGTGAATTAATTGTCGTCAGTGGTATTAGCTGATCGTTTCGCTATATAACAAACTGATGAAAGTTAAAATCCTGCCAATGATTGACTACTCAGTGACTCTAATGGTATTCTCCAGAAAAGTGAAGGTTCTGAGCTCAACTGCCGGTGGCATGATGGATGAGCGTATTAGTACGAAACAGGTAACTAATAAACTCCGATTTTCAACGATACTCCAACTGAGATTAAAATGCGACGAATACAACCTACACATGCTGAAATTGTTCAGTTCGGAACAGTGTTCAAATATATATCTTTCAAGATATGACTTACCAACTTATATCTGTCTGCTTTCTGTATTAGCGAATGAGCTAAAATTTTGTTAAGGTGAATTTTTTCGATGATGTAATTCTTAAGGATAAATCTAATTCATAAACTGGAAGATTAAATAAAAGATCCAAATTCACAACTTTACATTGTTGATTTGTACTTGCCACAACCATTTGGAATCGATCAACACCTACTGAGGGAATAACTCCAACTTATTAGCATTATCCATTGTGTTTATTGAGTATCTATAAGATTATTCATTAACTATAATTTTAGAACTGTTATTGTTATGTAGCTTTCTTACTCATAATCCGAACGTTTTGATTGAAATCATTTGCATTAAATGCAAACACATGGAAGCAGTTTGCACAATAAACTAGTATAAAGCAGATTCTCTGTTGTTATCTTGAAACTATGGTTCGGTATATGCCTATGGTAATTGCATATCAGAGAATAATCGAGTTTATTCTAATGTGTACGATTTTTATGGAGGACTCGACAGAATGACAACCAACACTAAAACACTTTAACGTTAAACATTCACATGTTATTATGAGGTAGAGAAGATAAGGCTTTGTACTTTGAATAGACATAAAAAGTTGAAATGAAACATCCCTTCTATTTCTTAAACTTAATAACCTTGAAACAAAATTAACGGACTAAAAGTAACAACAATAAATCAGATAACAGAAAATTTTTATTGTGGAATCATGAAATTGTCCTTTAGAGAAACAATTAATACGTGATAGCACAAAACTGCATAATCTGAGCTCTTCTTAATATTTCCTTTTACTTAACAGTGAGTTTTAAATTAATAAGTTAACAATGTAATCTATCGAACTATATTTCTGTAGAAATGATGGCATACTTCTTAAAAATTTGAAACTCAGATTAAATATACAACTTTACAATATTAATCTTAAATAGTGTGATGTTGGTTGTACTTCGACAAATTACTCATGTTGTCCATCGAGCAGCTCATGGGTGTATTGTCATAAATTTTGAAGGTTTTCTACCTTATCTTACGGATAGTGCTTTGAAGTTTTATTAAAGAGTTGGTAAAAATTTCTAATTCATATTTTAACATTAATATATCTCCTCAATGACACGACACAAACAGTGTTTATTTAGCGAAATTTTTCTTATCCTTCTAATCTATCAAGACTAATTTGATAGTATAAATACATGTTACTCTATTCACAATCCTATGATTACGTCATATTACTTTATACACTGCTAAGGGATCAATTATATTCTGATAAGCAAATTCCGAGATCTTCCTACAAACGATCACATATTCCCTACCGTTCAATACATATTACATTCTTCAAGCGCTTTGTTCGTATACTAACAAGCAGTTAATTACCCGATCAAAAGGCAACTGAGGAATACAAATTGAGACTGCAGTAGATTACAAACAGGGTCTTTTATCACCTTATTTACGAGTTGTAATTCATTCTTGCAGAATAACAGACCGAGTATAGAATCAATTGTATGAATATTTCTCAGTGTTTCAGATGTTCTAACAACTTTAATAATCGTCTCTTTAACATAACATTCTACCTAATAATGCTACCTAGTACAAGTAGGTAATAAGTAATGATCAGTTCAACTATCATCTACTTATCAATAGATCATTTCTATCTACGGTTAACTATAGTAACTGAAAATTAGTCATAATAGAAACAATCTTGATTCAGTTTGTATAATACCGCATGTTTTACATCTCACTATTTCATTCGTTTCTTCTGAACCAATTTTCCGTACACCAATTATGTTACAATTTGAAAAATGTAACTTTTCATATTCCAAGTTTTCTTCATTATGCTGATGTGAAATGTAACAAATTAGACCAGATCTTATATTGTTTACTAACGACTGATTGACTGACTGATAAATAGCCAGACAGATAGATAGATAGATAGACAGACGACATTCCAACAATAAATACACTGATTATTGAAAGACAATTCAACTTACATATTTTCTAATATGTACACTACAAATAGTAAACTTTAATCACCACTCTCTGTTTACTGTATAAGTGACTTGTTCATGTACACTAAACAACTGATTTATTGAACACTAATTCAAGATTTATAAACTAATCTATGAAATGTTTAGCAGTGAAGTTTGACAATATAACTCTGATAATAAGAAAGAACATAGCTATACACAACTAATATAGAATTAAAAAGAACATAATGCAAATAAACAACTGAACAATACATAATAGTGATGATCGTACGCTTCTAATCTTTATATATATATATATATATATATATATATATATATATATTACGTTTTTTGTTAGCGTTTCTTTAACGAGTTAGTTTTCTACGGGACGAGGTCATAACCCATTACCCAACCCTCCACCTTTATCCGGGCTCGGGACCGTCAGTAGCTCTAGAGGGGCTCCAGGTGGTTATATATATATATATATATATATATATATATATATATATATATATATATATATATATATATATATATATATATATATATATATATATATAAGGTTGAAAAGTCAGTACGTTTCAAGGATAAATGAAT